AAGCTATAAGCCATTTAATGTCTGAAAACCCCAGAAAATACTCACCTTCAAAGACCTACAAGACCCCGAAGTGTATTTCAAGATTAATTTATTTTAAAGCGATCTTTAAGCTAGATTGTTAGGCCAAAATTGACGACCTCATCATTTTCACATTTGGTGAGGGCTAGTGTACTAACATTTATCTGCAAAAATGCTTATAGAACGTAATTGGAGACAATTAATTGCTGTTCATTTGGATATGAAGAGCAAAATGGTAATTAACTTCCGCGGCAAATGTAATAGCCTTGTTTCAGTGGTTTCTTCAATTGTAAAGCAAACTCATGTAGTGAAAAATCAAATTTAGTTTGTGTTTCATGGTGCAAATGTGTACATAATAATTGTCAGCGTAAAAAAGAGTAAATTCCCAAGTCCTACCAATGTATTCCTATTGACATTGCTTTTTGAACTTTTATTAAGAGAATATTGTTTTTAACAGCGATGTTTATTTTGCTGCCCCATTTTAATCATAAATTAAGCAAAATAACCATTGAAATCCCTCCATTATACTTTTGTTCAGCGCCTGCACAATATACAGGGTGTTTCAGTTTATTGTTGCATAACTTTAAGATTCGATAGAACTTTTAAAATTAATGCATAAAGTCTATATAAACATGGGTCGAAAAATGCGTGGCTTCCGAAATACAGGGTGTTTAAATTTACTTTCCAAAATAGTTTTTTTTAAATATTTCGAACAATATTTGATGTATAACAGTGAAAATTGGTATACAAGGGTTTTTTGGTACGACAAAACGAACCATGGGCATAGTTTTACTGTTGCCGCAGAAGGGCGCTCTCTACTGTACCTGTAGTGTATTAAAATGACCGAAAATTTTTTCTTAGTGCATTCTTCGCACTTTTCACCATAAAAAAGCTCTCTTGTGAATTTTAGTTGTAGTTAGCCGTTTTTGAGATATTCCGATTTTTAAGGGTCGATGCATTTTTAATTATTTATGATAAAATAACGTTAAAAAGTCAGTATCTGGATAATTTTTAGAAGTAAGCTGTGCCTGTAAATATTTTTGAAATTGAAAGCAGATAAGGTTAAACGTCAATTAGTTAACAGTTAGTTTTGTTGTCTGTTGAAACCTGAAACGTTTTTTTGCAATTGTGAATGCACGAAATTTAGTTTCTTTTACCTGTTTTTTTTTGTAAGTTTTATAAAAATGCCATTTTTATTCTCCAATCAAGAGTTAGCGGATATTCATTTTGTGTATGGCTTTGTAAATTGAAACGCAGCAGAAGCAGCCAGAGAATACGCACGAAGATTTCCAAACAGACGACATCCAACTCGCTCAGTATTTGTAAGAGTGCATCGCCAAATAATTGAAAGTGGTTTCGGAAATCTCCAAAGGGATTAAAACATAAATGTTCGTCAGCGCAGATTTACCCGTATGATTCTGCATGAGTTTGATAGAGATCCGACCACAAGTGTTAGGAGAGTTTCTGGTGCCTTGGGAATTTCAGCAAGCCATGTTCACCGTGTTCTTAGAAATGACCATAGACGTCCTTACCATTTGCAACCTGTGCAAGGACTACAGCCAGGGGACGGAGAACGAAGAATCACATTTTGTCAGTGGATTTTTGATAGAACTGATAATAATAGGGAGTTTCTAAGTAACGTTTTATGGACCGATGAGTCATGCTTCACTAGACGTGGAGTGGTAAATTTTCATAATCAACATATTTAGTCGCATGAAAATCCGCATGCAGTTCGGGAAAGAAATTTTCAGCATGAATTTAGTGTGAACGTGTGGATTGGTATCTACCGAATTCGACTATTTGGACCCTACCTTTTGCCTGCAAGGTTAAATGCTGCGACCTTCTTGGAATTTTTAAAGGCTGCACATGCAGATATGTGGGATGATGTTATGTTAGATTTAAGAAGATTGGCCTGGTTCCAGCTTGATGGTTGTCCAGCTCATTATTCGAGAATAGTTAGAAACTGGCTGGACGAAAATTATCCAGAAAAATGGATCGGCCGTGGAGGACCAGTCGCCTGGCCTCCACGATCTCCTGACCTAAATCCATTAGATTTCTTTGTGTGGGGATTTCTAAAAGAAAAAGTGTACCAGACTCCCGTAATCACAAGAGATATGCTAATAGACAGAATCAGGAATGCATGTGATGAGATAAGGCCTTATTTGAATAATGCTATACCACGTTCGATCATTCGTAGGTGTGAATTGTGTATTGAACAACAACTACTTTAGATTTTGTATGTTTGTCCTAACTTTCCAATAGAATTTTAGTTGTAAATAATTAATTTAATTTGTTAAAAATAATATTGGAAAATTAAACAAATTAATATTCTGTTTTTTTGTGTTTATTTGGAGTTAGGAATTATTGCTGTGTTTAAAAACACAATCTAAACGATCATCTTAATCACTTGTACTGTCCAAATCGAAAATGTAAAAAAAAATATTATTTTCCCATAAATAATTAAAAATGCATCGAACCTTAAAAATCGAAATATCTCAAAAACGGTTAACTATAACGAAAACTCACAGGAGAGCTTTTTTATGCAGAAAAGTGCGAAGAATCAGTTCTTTTATTCAAAAAGCAAAAAATTGCACTATGAAAAATTTTTCGGTCATTTTAATACACTACAGGTACAGTAGAGAGCGCCCTCTAGCGGCTTCAGTAAAACTATGCCCATGGTTTGTTTTTGTCGTACCAAAAAACCCTTGTATACCAATTTTCACTGTTATAAATCAAATATTGTTCGAAATATTTAAAAAGTAAATTTAAACACCCTGTATTTCGGAAGCTACGCATTTTTCGACCCATGTTTATATAGACTTTATGCATTAAGTTTAAAGGTTCTATCGAATCTTAAAGTTATGCAACAATAAACTGAAACACCCTGTATAGTACGAGAATCAAAATGTGACCAATTTTGGCTTAATAACATAGCTTAAAAAAGGCTTTGTATTAAATTAATATTGAAACACGTTTAGGGGTCTTGCAGGGGGAGGTTTTATCTAGATACTTGACAACTTCAAAAATAATGATTTTTCACGGAGTATTTAATCATTTTTCAGACATTAAATGGCTTATAGCTCGGAAACGACTAAGTTTAAAGAAAAGCTACTAAGGACCTTTCTTGTTCAGAATGATCTGAGAAATCAGAGAAATTCAAGGGATTAAAAAATCGACCAAGAGGTGGCTGGACGAGATCCGGTTTATTGTTAGTTGACCCCTAGTCGATTGATATCTCTTCATCCTCACATTCTGCACCAGCGCCTGGTCTAAACCGGATATAGGAGAGTGGCTAACAGTTGCTGATCAAAGAATTCTCATTGGCCTTTTTTTGCATATATGCACGTGTGCTCGTGACATCTTGCCTGTTAGCTGTTTTTTGAAAATACTTTCCAGATTCTTTTAGCCACATCTCATATCCTGATTCAAAAAATAATTAGTCAATAAGTCTTCTGAGTCTTATTTAACTTCAAATAATTTTAATATCGGAATAATTTTGATTTTCTGAGCTAATCTCACATTGTTGTTGTTAGCATACGAGTAGAAATTAGCGCATGGAAATTATCAACAGATAAACTACATCTATACAACAAATTAATCACAAAACAATCATAGTGTCAGAACTAAGGGTTGGAAGGGTAAAGCTTGAAATCATTTTAGTTTGTTGACCAACAATAAGCAAGGCTTCAACACAGAATCGTGTATATCGTATAGTAAAGAAATCAACATCGTTTGAAGTAAGTTTAATTCCGAAATTTAAATGTGTACGATGAAGTAAAGTACTAAAATTAATATCGGTAATATCCGCGCACATGTACGAGTATATTAAAGTATCTTTCACGAGAATCCCTTATGGTTTGACATCTACTGAGGTGGTTACCAGGTGACATCTTTGTATCGAAGTCTGTTTGCCATGTCTATCTAACTATTTTTGTTAAATAACGTGATCAATTTTGTAATAAAAAATGTACTGACGTCAAAATTTGAAAAAGGCTGTAAAAGAATTTGAACTGCCTTTTACCTAAGTACGGCATTATAGTGGCACGATGTTTTTTAAAACTGACCAGGTGCAGTATGGTATTCGAATGACCCTTGGAAGTCTAAGGACAAAACAAAAAATACGATTTTCCTTATAATTATCTATCTATAACCAATACCTACTTCAAACGAATGTATATGAAATCTGAAACATCTATAGTTGCAACTTTTGTATTTGTGTAATATTATCACTTCAAATCAACATAAAAATGCAAGTATGTAAGCTCATGCATTCGGTTTGTGTTATGAATTCCCTAATTTTTTTATAGATTCCTCCATCCTGATGTCGATGTTGTTGTTCAACGTTTGATGCTTGGAACTTCATGACATTTAAAACTTTAGTTCGTTTATTTTTTTAATCCCTTTCTGACCGTCAGTCGCTTTTTTGTCAACTCGTAATCTCAGTTATTGTGGAAACGATTTTGCTCAAATTTGTGGAATGAGGCGCTATGAGATCATCGTGGGCGATTTTGAAAACTGTCGTGTTCGTGAATGTCTCTCAAACTCTAAATTCGCGGGTCAGAATTTTTGGAATTCTCCGAAGCCTATTTTGGGAACGTTTCTCGGATTTCTATCATCTTAGGGTACATCGAGATTTGGCAGAGCTTCAAGGTATTGAGAGGTTTTATATTTGCGTACACAAGTGTATAATAAATATACGGTGAGGGGTTCAAATTTGGCTGACGTCGTAGGTTTCAAAACTGACACTTTTCATCTTTCAACTGTCACTAATGCTATTAAAAATTTTTATTTAAAAGATTCATATAATTGAGCTAGTATACTTTGACTGAATTTTTGATATCCTTTACTGATATGATTTATAAGGAGATCATCAATGCAATATGGCTGGGTAAAACACGAATGCACAAGCTCACATGCTATTAAAAAAATAGGAACCCTGCTTGATAGAATACGTAAAGGCACCAATGTCTACCACATTTCACCTGTTTGTAGGAGAAAATATGAAGAAAGATGAGGCTGGAGGAATTGGTAACGTCTGAGTGTTTTGTTTAACTTGAGACATACGTCTCGGAAGCGCTGAATCTTCGTTGCCTGTCTCAACGTCATCTCCATCTGGAAGGTTATAACAACGCTTATATCACTAAGATCACAGCTGTGGAAGGGATGTCTCTTCATAGGATCTTTGTCCTGTGACAACTACGCTGAGTCAAGCTTATGTTTGTCATAAGAACAGTAGTTAGGGAAATTGCTAGATGCCCAACATATCAAAAAGTACATAATAGATACCTACGTGTCGTATTTGATACAAGTCTAGAATCAAAATGGAAGAGAGTAACCTGCCTGTAGTGCCAGAAATTACTACGTTGGTAGAAGCGGTATTTCGAAAATGTGTAATCCTAGAATAACTCAAACTCAAACGTCTGCTTCAAGTTTTGGAAACAACCTGCATACTGTACATCTAGCTTGACAGGTACTTAATTGTAATCACCTGGCAAAAATATCTTTCTTTGCACGAATTTAATCAAGTTAAAGGATCAGGCTTTCAACTTGTAGTTCAATTTTTCAATCTTCCACATTTTTCATATAATAATAATAGGTGGCCATTACCGCACGTACATGATGATTTTGTCTGCGTCATGTCTAAACAAGTACTTAAAAAAAAACGACTGAAGGAACTGAGGATTTAACGATATGCTGAAAGGCTGATGCCAGAGATTGTGTGGAATCTGGTACTCACGTTCAATAGCAACGTAGTGTGTTATTGGGTTGCTCTTTTTCCACTAAATAGAAATTATGATGGAGCCTAGTTTCAAATCTTAGTCTAGAAGTAGATTGGCCTCAGATCAATCAGATAAAGTCAAAATGACCTTAGTAAAAGTCTTCCAGTTTTCGAGATATTACCACTTTTAAGTTTTTTCAAAAAATACCTACTTTTTGCTCCTTTTTTGCCAGTTATGGCTATAAAGAACTTCTTACGATTTTTGTTCGCTATGCTAGAAAAAAAAACAACATTTACATTTGGTTTCAATGCGAAAACCTTTGCTAAAGTTTTACTAATTACTGTGAAAAAAAATTAACCAGACTGAATCAGAAAATGACTTAAAAATTAGCTATTGAATGCTCATTCCAAAATAGTATTACATTTGTAGCTTCCTTTTTCCAAAAACTTAATAAGTTTTGTCATTGAAGTCGTAATAATTGCGAAATACTACAAATAAAAAATAATAAATGTAGCTGCCTTTTGTGTCCAAATTACAACTTTGTAGTTGCTGTAATCGCAGGTACCACCTGAATGTTGTAAAAATCAATGGAAATGAAAAAAAAATACAAGCTAATGTGCTGTTCATTATTTTGATGCTTGCATACAATAATGAATAAAAAAGGATAATGGGTAGCGGTTTTAGACATATGCTAAAATTGAAAGCGATTACAGCACCTACAAAGTTATAATTTGGATACAAAAGACAGCTGCATTTATAATTTTTTATTTGTAGTATTCCGCAAGCATTACGACTTCAATGACAAAACTTGGAATTATTCAATTTTTAGTAAAAAGAACCTACAATTTGAAACAGATTTTATCACGGTAATTAGTAAAACTTCAGTAACCAAATGTAATAATTTAGTTTCTTTAAACATACTGTGCTAGTTTTCAATGAAATGAATACTCAGTTGCCTCACTCGACTATTAATGGTAGCCCAGAAAAAAAATCATAAGTTAGAAGTTATCTATAGCCATAACAAGCACAACGGATGCAAAATCTGCAGATCTTCATTTAGAATTCTGTTATACAGTTTCAAGGTCAATTCCACTTCCATATCGTCAGTTTTGTGGGATCTCTGACCAATCCGAGTTCATCCCGAATTACTACTATGATCAGGTCTATTAAATATCCAAACACCTTGAAAAGCTTCAGAAGAACAAAAAAAGAATTTGATCCGGGAGCAAGTGCCACTTCCACAGCTATGTTTCCTCTTATGTGCCTACCTGTTCTTATGAGAAAAAATAAAGAAGGCACTGCCTTTAGGTATAGGCCGTGTTTTCTTAGCAATGGCAACCTCGGACAGACGCCGAGGCCTAGCGCTGTCTTTCATTGCTGCCCCAACGGCTTCTAATTCATCATCAATATCTAGATCTAGATCGTCCTCTGAAAATCATCGTTTACCTCCTATTCTCACTGATTATTTTTCAGCCATTAGAAAGCCTTTGCAATTAGCATCAGACCTGAAGCTTCGTTGTCCAGAAAATAAGCAGCAGGCTTAGGCATAGATTTAGGTATAAACACAGACTTGAGTCGAATACTGAAATCCGATATTCGAATACTAGCCCTGAATACTGTATTTAAAAAAAAGTATTCGAATAGGTACGAGTATGCGCACTTTAAACTTGATTTTAATTTATGGACTTGTTATAAAAATACAAGTGTACAAGGAACCCCCACGATAATCTGTGAACTAATAATGTTACGAAAAAACTAAGCCCCGCGATTCATAGGAGTTTTTGCCTAGCTATTCAACGGTGACATTGGATTTGACCTTGATCAGGACCTTTCAAGGTCATCCGAAGGTCATGTCGATTTTTTTTAATGAAAGCCCTTATTGTCACCCGTGAATGAAAAGAGAGGAACATTCCATGTCCAAATATGGTCTTGACCGTTCTTAAATTTTGACCTTAGGAGCTCATGTTCAAACCACTAGTTGTATGGAAACTATCGAGAAATTATTTTCATGATTCTTTCCTGGATATCTAATGGTGACCTTGGATCTCACATTAACTTTCAAGGTCATCCGAAGCTCATGTCGATTTTTTTTAATAAAAGCTCTCATTGTCATTTCGTGAATGAAAAGAGCGGAAAATTTCATGTCCAAATATAGTCTCGACCGTTCTTAAATATTGTCCTTAGGAGCTTATGGTCAAGATCGAACCGAGTTACGGCGATATAGCTTGAAAACCACTAGTTGTATGGAAACTATCGAGAAATCATTTTCATGATTCTTTCCTGGATATCTAATGGTGACCTTAGATCTCACATTAACTTTCAAGGTCATGTGAAGGTCAAGTCGACTTTTGTAGCCAGAGAACAATCCTGAAAGAACAGTGAAATCAGTTTATTTAGGGATTACACAGTTTTTCACATTATCCATCCTCGCGTTAACCTTTAAATGTCCTTGAAAGTCATTGCCATGGTCAAATCCAAGGTCAACATTGGATATTTGGGGAAAATCATGAAAATAATATCTCGGTAGTTTCCCTATACTAGTACTGGCATTCAAATTATATCGCTCTACCTGCGTTTGATTTTGACCATAACCTCCTTAGGTCAAACTTTGAGAATGATCAAGACCAAATTTGAACGTACAATTCTCTGCCATGTTCATTTACGACGTCAAAAATGGGGGGTCTATTTAAACAAAATCGACTTGAAATGAACTTGAAAGTCATTGTCAAGGTAAGATCCAAGGTCACCATTGGATATTTGCAGAAAATCATGAAAATAATGCCTCGGTAGTTTCCCTATACTAGTACTGGCATCCAAGTTATATCGCCCTACCTGGATTTGACCTTGATCATGACTTTCTAAGGTCAACATTTAAAAATGATCAAGACCAAGTTTGAACGTACAATTTTCCGCCATGTTCATTTACGATGTCAAAAATGGGGAGTTTCATTTAAACAAAATCAACTTGAAATGAACTTGAAAGTCATTGTCAAGGTCAGATCCAAGGTCACCATTGGATATTTGGGGAAAATCATGAAAATAATGTCTCGGTAGTTTCCTCATACTAGTACTGGCATCAAAGTTATATCGCCCTATCTGGATTTGACCTTGATCATGACCTTCTAAGGCCAACATTTAAAAATGATCAAGACGAAATTTGAACGTACAATTTCCCGCCATGTTCATTTACGATGTCAAAAATGGGGAGTTTCATTTGAACAAAATCAACTTGAAATGAATTTGAAAGTCATTGTCAAGGTCAGATCCAAGGTCACCATTGGATATTTTCAGAAAATCATGCAAATAATGTCTCGGTAGTTTCCCTATACTAGTACTGGCATCCAAGTTATATCGCCCTACCTGGATTTGACCTTGATCATCACCTTCTAAGGTCAACATTTAAAAATGATCAGGACAAAATTTGAACGTACAATTTTCCGCCATGTTCATTTACGATGTCAAAAATGGGGAAGTTCTATTTAAACAAAATTGACTTCAACTCCAAATGACCACTATCCACACAAACAAAATAACTTTGCGTAGCTATCTTATTTGTGCACAAAACGTTTTTAACACTCTTAAGTTGCCTAAAGCATAACACAATATTTATAAGAATGGACAAACAGTATTCGAAAACAGGATACCAGTACAGGATTCGTTTACCTGGATTTGAGTACAAAATGGGTATTCGAATATTGGAATTCAATATTCGAATGCCGGACAAGTGGTTTATATAATTTTTCCGATGTACTTTTGTCCCAGAGATATTGACATTGTCTTTTGAATTGTTGATAGATACTATTTAGAGCTTTATCTTATTTCCTGGGCTAACAAATTTAATTAGTAGTATAAGGAGCAGTTCCCTACTTTGCTCAATGGCCATTACAATTGTTATCCAAAGAACAGCCGAATAATTATCGAGATATAAAAGACACACATTTTTTAGAATATAATTCAAAATGCACATCTAGTAAAATTAAACTTTTTATAGTTGCCGCCAAAGTATTTTTTATTAAATTTTAATTATAGTCCGGTATATAAAATCCTTGTTCAAGCCTCTTGAAGTACCGATTATGGCATTAATTCACTACCACCATCAATACAAACAGAACACGCAATGGGAGCACTGGAATTATTTTGAAAAACATTAAATAGCTTTTTCGTGAAATAAGAACATATCCAAATCCAGTTAATGCGGTAAATAATCCATATCCCTAGTTAATAGAGTCATAGGTATGTGAATCAATAAGTAGTAATCTCTTTTATGTGGAACATGGAATATCCTTCTGGATCGCCTCGATAAGGCAAATTCAATATAACGTTAAAATTGCATTCCGCTTCGGTTTCTACCGAATCAGGAATATTAGATCCTAGTGAACATATTTACTAAGAATCTCCGCAGAAGGCCAAAGGTCGCTTATGTGCTGATATTGCCAGTAATCTGATTTTTAAATGATGTCTTAGGCCCGTATCGTCAGTCGTCCCTACAATTGTAGGGCGCCTTTATGGTTCTTGTAGACATGGATATGGTCCGGTGTCTTATTCCATGATCCGGGATATGTAATAGGGTGGTTTAAAATTCTTTCTGATTCGTGATAGTGGGTCTCAATTAACGGCCTCATTAGGAACAGAAACAAAAATTCTTGTCACGAGACTTTGAATTTAAAAATAATAGTTAATGTATAGTCAAAATTAAACTCCGGCATATGAGAAATTGGAATAAATTTTGTCCAAAGTTATATAATGACCTAGAAGCTTTGGCTGAAGTAATTTCAGATCGTTTTATTTTGTTACAGAACGCTCAAGTATATTTGGCATGTGAAAGATGTCAGTACCAGACTTGCATCGCAGAAATGATATTATGTAAGTACTATTTTTTTTTCATTTCTCTCCTGTATCGCATTTGCAACATACTATGGTATATGTTTTTTGTTGTAACTTGTACAATAACAGAATCGTGCTCGAGGTTGAGGTCTGATTAGGTCCATTTCGTCTTAAAAGTATTGAAACATATGTAGGTGTCACCTTTTCAAACAATGTCCTGAACACTTGAGTCACTCCTTCCTTGCATTTCTTTTCTAAAAAATGAAGCCTTTTAGCTCTTTTTTTAGGCGGTGTGCAGCTTATATCAACAACTTCTTTTGGCTTAATCTCTATCAACTTCAGGCTCTACTACCTCCTAGTTAAGATCTTCTTGGTCACTTTGGAACATCTTACGGGTAGTTTTTGTTCTTCCGATGTGTCAATAACATGCATCCTCCGGGGCTACAGGCGGTTAGCAAGTGAGACAGCCACCATACCAACATGAATCTATCCACTGCGCCCATCTCTAGATAGCTTCCTATGTCCGCAACTTTGTGACCCCCTGACTCAAAGGCTGGATCTGCTCACATTCTCAATTAATGTGGGGAGAGGGTGCATATTTCATCGTTTGCCTAAGGGCTAAGTGTTGGTACCAAAAGCAGCTATTAGCTGATACACCCGCCAGGTAAAATAAAGGCATATTATTATTAACAAAAGTCTGAAGCCGGCCCTGGTCACTGCCTGCTTTTCTTCGCAGCCTTTACCGGATCTGCAAGCTCAGACGGAGTTGTGAACGTTTTTTCAGCTGATTAGGAAGCGATAAACATCTTCTGTTGCGACTTCATCCAAATAAGGCAGAAATAACTGTAGGCGAGAAAACTTCAGAAGCTAGTGTCTTCAATGTTTTTCGTTCTGTTGAAACTGAAAACGTATTGCAATTGCTTTTATTGGGTTGGATCGTTATCGGATCCTTTTTGCGTTTCGACTCTTCAGATGTAAAGGTTCTTTTGGAATTGATTGTGTCTTCGAAGTAGCTGAGGGGGCCTTTTTGAAAAGCGCTGTATACGAGGGGGTACCCAAAACAAACCGAAATTATTTTTTAAAAGCTATTCACTTTCAACTTTTTCACAAAGTAGCCTTAACTCCTTCAAAATACTGTCAACTACAACTAATCCACTTGTCCCAGCAATGCTTCCACTGCTCGAAACATTTTTTGAAGTCATCCTTAGAAATGGCAAATAAGGTGCGTGAGGCAGCGGAACCATGCCATTTTTAGTCAGAAACTGTCGAACAGAGATGGCCTTATGCGCAGGTGCATTAACATCAACAAAACAAATCAGCATTGTTTTGATGTTTGATTTGACTTGATGAAATTTTTTTTTGGACGATGGCGTCTTCCATTGACTTGACTGTTGCTTCGTCTCTGGGTCATAACCGTAGCACCAAGTCTCATCACCAGTGATGATCTTTGACAGAAAATTTGGATCAGATTCAAGCTGTTGTTTCAACGCACGACAAGTTTCAACTCGGTGTTCTTTTTTATTGTCAGTCTGCGCCCGAGGAACAAACTTAGCAGCAACCCTTTTCATTCCCAAATCTTCTGTTAAATATGGCTAAACCGAACTCCAGGACAACCGACTACTTACGGATAGTTGATCGATTGTCAGTCCACGGCCTGCAAGCACAATTTTTTCAACATTTTCGTCGATTGGGGCAGTTGATGATCGTCCAGAGCGAGGTTGGTCATCAACCGACATGTCGTCGTTTTTAAATCGAGCAAACCACTCGTACATCTGAGTTATTCCATCTCTGTAAGCTATTTTCAACATTAAAACAGTTTCAGCACCATTTTTGCCCATTAGAAGGCAACATTTCGCAGCTGCAAGTTGCTCACTGAAGGTTGCCATCGACAACTCAGGTGGCACTGGACTGGTAATGAGTTGCGCTGTACGCCTCTAGGGACAGAAATGTGTACTACACAAGCTCCCTGCAATGCTATCCCGGTTATTTTTGGGTACCTCCTCGTATTTGCTTATAACAAAGCTACTCACAATACGTTTTCGAGAAATATAAGTTGAATTCTCAAAGACGCCCAAGTTCAGTCACCCGTTTGTATGGAAACGAAGCAGACCTATAATTATAAGCGTAGTGGATCTACCATGCAACTATCCTGACATAATCTTTTAACACACATATAAATGACATGTTTCCCACAGGACCGAGATCTGTATACGTCCCTGAAGCAAACTTTACTCACCGTCAACGTCTATTTTCCAGAAACACACCGATGTAACAAATATACAAGAGAAATCTGGCAAGACAGCCGACCTTTGACCTTTATGGTAATTGAATTCTATGGAAATCTCAAAGAAAAACAGCGTCAGTATATATTTCACAGGTATATAAAGTAAAATGTGGAAAATTTGTTCTCACTCAACTTCGTGGCTGTTTATTGGACTTATTTTTTTAAGAAACTGTACAGGATGTTGCCGGTACATGGGCAAAATTCACTTGGTGATTTTTTTGGTATACCGAAGCAGCCGCTTATGCAGAGGAGCCAAGACCGATCCCTGGGGAACATCCGCGTTGACGTTGTGGGATGAAGAGAAGAACCCGTCAATTACGACTGATATCTTGCGGCCAGAGATAAAGTCAGAAATCCATCTGCAAAGCTTTTCTGGGAGGCCATAGGATGGAAGTTTGCTTAAGAGGGCAGCGTGCGACAGCTGATCGAACGCTTTCGTGATATCAAGAGCAACGACATGAGCCTTTTTGGCATTGCGAGGCTCTTTGTTATATTTGTTTCTGGACTCGGCTTGTTTGTTGCCTACAGCAGGGCTTTGTAAAGGTTCTGTGCGCCTTGACGATACGCCGACTTGCAGTTTTGCGTGATTGTTGAACCGGCCGTTGGACCCTAGCTTAAGCACTTTCACTGTGCGAGAGATGTACAATACAAATTAAAAGAAATAATCGAACAACAAATCCTGAGAACGAATTTCTATACAAAAGAAATTTCTATTATTGCTAATGATCAGATCCCAATAATAGTGTGAGCAAATTATGATTTCAATGACTTTTCAGTGATGATTTTCATTAAATAAATACGTACTGAATAGTTTTGTTTTGTTTGTTATGAATTTAAATGGAAAGATGCAGGTGTTCAAATACTTTTGAACGGTAGTGTAGGTGTGGGAATGATTTAATGATTTCAAGAGACAGGATGGCAAACTTTTCTGGAAACTGCTTTTCCTGTATAAACTCTTTAGCTCATTTAAAATTTGTTGGAATTTGTCAGGAACAAGATATCGTGCGAGATTTTTACGAAAAATCGATATTTAACTAAAGTTAGATGCCCTGTATCGAATTATTCTTATCGGACCTATATTTATTATAAGAATTTCGCTTTAAGTTCACTGAAGAATAGAAGAAATAAATTGCTCAGTACTTCAAGAGGGAAACAAGGATTATTCTTACTATTGCTGCGTGGTATAGCAGAACTAGATTGTCAGTCTTACAGCAATATTGTGGGCTGTAAAGTCATATCAATATTTCTATACTTTTTAGAATGGTGCATAATTGGATAGCTACCAAAAATTAGTCGATACTGCGATATTTTCAAGTTCTCGGAAAAGGTTGAAACACATGTGCATTTACGAGTATTCTTGTGTGTAGTTGTGATTTCCAAATTTTAACGAATCAGAGGCGATTCTGTCAGCGTATAATTTTAGTGACGACTGAACTGATAATGATAAAATCTAGTACAGAAGCGTTTTTTTGCGTTGCCTATGTCAAATGTTCCGATTTGACACAATCTTTTTAACAAAAAACTCACCTTCGTTTTGTTCTTCATCAAATTCTCCTTCAAGTGCGATCTTTGTCTGAGACTCGGCTTCTTCATCTCGATCTGATCTGCAATTGGGAATGTGACTACATACTAGATTTACATAAGTACACACAAAAAGCTTTGTTAGAACCCGGAAAAATGATTTTACATCGATAGTCTTAGATGCGAAGTTTTGGGAACATATTACAAAATATCTAACATTAAACGCTTCCAAAATCCGGTCGAAGTTTTATTTCCTAAGCTGATATCAAAGAGTAGTTATATACAGGGTGACTTCGAAGTTGAGTCATTTATTTTAACAGTGAGTAGATCTGATCGAAAGAAATGTTTTTTTCCTTAAACACTTTTGTGGTAAAATTAAAGTAACAAAGTTATAGCCCTTTAGAAGTTTGAGTACCGCCCTGTCTCAATAATAATATTATGTGCTCGTGTTTGGCCACAACGGATATAATCCGCCTTATCGGTTTATCGCATCGGAAACAAAAAAGCGAAAGAATTTGAAACGCTTATCACGATGTTTTTACTACAATTTTATTCAGTTGTATTCAGTCAATGTGTCAGTCGGTAACGCGTGAGTGAATAGTGGTGTTTGCTGAACTTGTGGACATGATTCTTATTTACGGGGGGGGGAGTCTTTACAAAATGCTGCCGCGGCATCACGGATTTATGCGGATCGGTTTCCCAATCGAGTGTAACCTACCACTCGTGCCTTTGTTAATGTAGTACAAAGGGCTCGTGAATCAGGTGACTTAAGACCTCACAGGGGAGGGCATGCCGGTGCTCCAAGACCGTACGATCAAATACAGGTCCGCACTGAAATACTTGTCGGGAACAACAAAAACAAGGTAACATTTTTTTTTATTTTTACACACATATTTTGGTTTATCTTCCTTCTACAATCATTATCTGAAAATTAATGACTCAACTTCAACGTCACCCTGTATAGAGAAAAGACAAGAAAGGTGAATATAATTAGAAAGAAATAGGATGATTTTAAAAACATGGCGTCCACAAAACAGCTGATTGCATCTAAGCTCCTAATCTGAACTATAGTATTGGGGGGGGCTTAAGAAAAGAACTTTGTATAGGCCACCCTATAGCATATACATATATTTTGCAAAACCTAGACAGCCCTTCTGCTTACGAAATAACGCTGAAATCCCAACATTGCCTTCAGAGTAAATATAACTCCTTAAATTCTTGTCCTATAGAATATAAGCATAAGGAGAGATGACGGATAATTTTCAATTAAGTACAATAACAATTCTATTATGCTTCAGACACTGTTCAGGCTGTCTAGCCATCTGGAGCGAGGCATGTGTGGACAATATAGCTTGTTTCCCTGTATAATGAGGAACACGTATGGGAATTCGCTAAGAGAATGAGCGAGGTATTGAATTTTCTGTCAGGTGCCAGAAATGACCTTCTGTGCAGCTATTTCAGAAGGCTTCCATTATTTTATTATGATGACATATATTTTAAAGGACCTCACTATTGTTTGGCCGCTAAATAAAACGTTTGAATTAGTTTTCATTGACGTTTCGACCATCACGCTGGCCTTTTTTAAAGTACACATGACAATAACAAGATATTTGTCTGTCTTGCAGGTGATATTTGGTAACATGGAGGACAGATAAACACAAAATATATCATAGACCCTACGTGGAATGCTACACGACTTAGTTTAGTATTAAAAGAAGTACGTCACCTTGAAATTCAAAAGTTTTCTAACCTCAAATTGCTTATTTGCGCGAGTCATTTAGACAACCTGGCCTTGAGACGATGTTTATTTATTTCATATACTTTTTGTCGTAACCAATAAAAACCGTAAAAAGAGCTCAACTCTGCTTAGTATAAATGTCGCGTTTTATAAACATTTTGTGGCAGCTTGGCAACACCGCCTCGGCAGCCAAGGACGGTTCACACGTAGATCGCTGTTTTGTGTGAGACGTACAGAGTCAATTTACTTTACGCCATTATATTTTTATTTTGATTTTTCCGGGTTCCTGACAGAAACCATGTAGCGTTAACATCTGAAAGAAATTCACGAAAATATTACCTTTCTGAGTACTGCCCTTCAGTATCTTCTTCTTCAACGCTATGTTCCTCTTCCTCACCCTCTTCTTCCTGCCCAGGTGTTGGACTTTTTGATTTTCCCTCTTTGTTTTCTTCCTCCTCCTCTTTCTCTATTGCTGTTAGAGATTCGGCGTCCGCCAAATTGTCGACGGCGATAGCCAAGAACACATTCAACAGAATATCTGATCGGACGTTAAGGAAAATTGTTTCAACAAAGAAAATTATCTACATTTTGCAGCGGCATGAGGAAACCGTCATGTCTATCTACACTTTGGATAAATATAGTACAGCTTAAGGGCCGTATCGTCAGTCGTTTCTACAATTACAGGACGCTGTTATGACCGCCTTGATTTTCATAGTATTTTCACTCCAAGGCCGGGGTATTTCTAGGTTTCTACTGTTCCGTGTCTGCGTCAGCGCTCTCATATAGTGAGGTTATGTTTTCTTTTTGTATGTTTCAGGCTGATAAACCAGATGATAAGGATCAAGTTCCTTGAGCCTAAAAATTTTACAAAAAGAAAATATAACCTCAAAATAGAGCCTTTCTGAAGGATAGGAAAAACTATGAGAGTCAAGGCCATAAAGGCGTCCTACAATAAATTATAGGAACGCCTGACAATACGGCCCTAAAAGGCGAAGTAGAGAGAATACAAGATTGTAAAACACAGGGTGTAATGAACTCTTTCGAGAGGAAGATTGACATGACATACCAGCCCGATTTCACTATTGATCGTCGGGAATCAAAATTTGCGCCTTTGGCATAAATATGACCTTCTTCTAAAATGTCTATCAAATTAGGCTATTTTCTATCCTAACTAAAAGACCCCAAGTTCAAGGCCAAAATGTTGTGTCATATGATTTCCTGACAAGACAAACAACATGGTTCACTATTGATGTCAAAGCTCTATTCCTCAGTTCTGACTGGGGTTTTCGCGTTTTCGGAAGATTTTTGGCGTATATGCATGTGAAAATAAAAGGAAAAAACAAACGAAGTGTCATGACAAACATGCAGGATTATACGCTCGAAAACCACAGGGTAAGTGTCAGGTGTTACATATTATCACATTTTCTAAATTCAAACATTAGTTGGTGCGAAAGAGTCCCGAGACTGTCTGTTAGGGAAGAGTCATCGATCAGTCGGACCGCCCTCCTCTGGACAGCATCGAGCATGGACAATGTAGTCGGGGCGGCAGCACCCCAAATGTGTGAGCAATACTCGAGGCTAGGCCTTATCTGGGCCTTGTATAGAGTGAGAAGGTCATGCGGAGAAAAGTACTTCTTAGCCTAAACAAATAGCCTAGCTTTTTCCCAGCAGCTGCAGCTATTGAAGAGATGTGTTCGTGCCAGATCAGGTCCTCGGTGATCTGGACTCCGACCAGCCGAAATGAATGGCTCTTTGGTAGAACTCGACCGTCCATCGAAACTGCATGAGCGCTAGGACGCTTTTTGTTCGTCAAAGTACAGTACTGTGTTTTGGAAGCATTGAACTGTACAAGATTGTTGCGTCCCCAAGCAGTGATAGCCTCCAGGTCTCTTGTCAGAGAAGAAGTCGTCGCTAGTCTTCTTTTTTCCAGCTCAGCGGCAGAGATCGGCTTGTCACTCTGAATTCCTGCATGTAGAGTGCTGTCATCAGCGAAGCTGTGGATTGGGTTGATAGTGCAGGAAAGGAGGTCGTTGATATGTAAGAGAAACAGTGTCGGAGCCAAGACCGATCCCTGGGGAACACCCGCGTTGACGTTGTGGGATGAAGAGGAGAATCCGTCAATTACGACGGATATCTTGCGGCCAGAGATAAAGTCAGCCACCCATCTTCAAAGCTTTTCTGGGAGGCCGTAGGATGGAAGTTTGCTTAAGAGGGCAGCGTGCCACAGCTGATCGAACGCTTTCGTGATGTCAAGAGCAACGACATGAGCCTCACCATGAGACTGGATGAGTTTACTCCACAGTTGCGTGACGTAAGCTAGGAGGTCCCCTGTGGATCGTTGGTGCCGGAAACCGTACTGCCTGTCGCTAATCAAGCTGTGACGTTCGAGGTAGTCCAGAAGCTCGCGATTTATGCACCTCTCCATCACTTTACTTATAACAGAAAGCAGAGCTATAGGCCTGTAGTTGTAAGGGTCGGTTTTAGATCCTTTTTTTGGGATGGGCTGTACATGAGCAAATTTCCAGTTTTCTGGGAAGTTGCAGGATTCATAAGATATCTGGAAGAGACGCGAAAGAACTGGAGCAAGCTTCGCTGCACATCTCTTCAGTACAATGGCAGGAATCAAGTCCGGACCAGAAGCTTTGTTGATGTCGAGCGACAAGAGCACTCGTCTTACGGTCTTATGCCTGAATGTTACCTCCCGCATAGTGTGGGGAACCCTTTGAATTGACGGCACTTGGGCGTTGGTGGGGACGTCCATGGTGGAGTTGGCAGCAAAGATCTTGGCTAGCACTTCCGCCTTGGCCTTTGAGTCGGATACAATAGTTCCATCCTGACACGTAAGTGGTGGAAGGCTACTGTGTGAGAAGTTCTTCTCAATCTGCTTGGCCAGCGTCCAGAAAGACCGACTGCCATTGCGCTGCGACATTACCCTGTGCCTAACTTTTATATCATGCTGGTTTTTGGCATTGCGAACCGCTTCGTTATATTTGTTTCTGGACTCGACGTCGGCTTGTCTGTTCTCTACAGTGGGGTTTTGTAAGTAGGTTCTGTGGGCCTTGATCTTCTGCTGGCGAGCTGTGTCACACGATTTGTTGAACCAGCCGTTGGACCCTGGTTTAGGAACTTTCACTGTGTGAGGGATGTATTCCTCCATTCCGACGTGGATAATTTCGGTTATTGAAGAACAGACAGTCGACGCATCCGCGTCAGTGAAACAGACATCTCTCCAAGGAAAGCTAGAGAAGAAGTCTCTGAGCCCCTCCCAGTCGGCATGTCCGTAATGCCAAGTTTTGCGGCCTGTGCGAGTTTCTGCTGCCATAGCGGCTTCTGACCGAAACCTAACCTCCACAACACCGTGATCTGAGTTACCCATGGGGACAGGACAGCAGTGCTGTAAGGGGCAGGATGCGTGTCAGAAAGAGGTCCAGCAGGCTACTGGCGTGTGACGAGACGCAGGGGAAAAAAGTAGGGCTCGTCACCAGCTGGGTCAGCCCTTGAGTAAGAGCGAACGCTTCGACTGCACGACCTGCTGCATCGGTCTTATTTGAGCCCAATCAAAGCTCATTATGGGCATTGAAATCAGCGAGAAGAACTACCTCTGAAGCGGGGTGATTGATGTTCAGGAAGTCGATCTGGACGGCGAGGTATTCGAGTAGGTCATCCCAGTTATGGTTCGATGGAGAGCGATAAAGGCAGCAAATAAATTTGGGTGATGTTTTGGAGTTGAGGCGAAGCCACAGAATGTCCTTCCGGTCTGATTCCAAAGAAAGATCCCTGGAGCAGGAAAGACTGCTGCGGACAAAAGCCACAACTCCCCCGTTCTTTCTCAGATTGGAGTGCACCTCGTAGTTTGGGAAGTTGAGATGGTTAATCGGTGCAGTCTCTGAGATTTTTGTCTCCGCCAAGAAAAGCACGGCGGGACGATTGGATTGCAGGTAGTGATGAACAGCATCAATGTTGCTGTTGATCCCGCAGATGTTCGAAAAACAAATTTTATCTTCGATGTTGTTCCCTCGAGCCCACCCTCCACCCGGACATTCCGAGAGTGGAGTGAGTTTACGTCCGGGAATCGTAAGATTACAGAAAGTAGCTACGTAACGTACGAGGTGTGATCAAAAAATACAATGACATTTTTATATACAGAGCTACTGCATTTCGGTTTGCAATAAGAAATAGATGTGCGGACGCAAGTTTTCTTTGTAAAAGGATACAATTACCACAGATGAACAATATTATAAAATATATACAAGATAAAACACCAAATGATTGCACACCACCATATGCAGCTATTCCTTCATACATCACAGCATTCCAATCCTCACCAGTTAGTATCTGAAAAAGCATCAAAGAGTAAATGGCAACACTGGCTCGGTATTTTCAGACTTGTGACTCAACGCCTTTCGTCCTTTACCAAAAGCGCACATCACTAGGCGGGCAGCACCGATCACTAATGCTACTGACGTGGCGAAAACCTCGCAATCGTGGAATAAATTTTTCGACTCGAGTTTCCTTCCATAATAACTCTTGTTGGATGTCCTTCCACATGAATCAAGAGGTTATCATTTTTTAAACAAATTACAAACAATAAGTTTACCGCTCCGAGCGTTTCCGGATCAAAAACTGTATTGTTTGCAAAAGGTTCTTAAATGAAACTTCATGAGAAAAAATGGCGTTAAGTATGTTGACTCTGCACTTCGGTGCAATTTAAATTTTCCGAGAAAAACCTCATTTACGAACATGTACAACATATAAATTAAATGCATTAGTCAGAAAACGAGAAGTCAGTCAAACAGCCCGATACAATTAGTCCATACACATTATTTTCCTGCCCTATCGGTAAATACTGACAATTTGGCAACGTTGTCCCTTTCCACATCTGCGCGGCTTTGGTGCAGCGAGTTGTTGATTTCGATCGTGATTCGTGTATATCGTGTACATAAGCAGGAGTACGCGGATCATTTCATTTTAAGTTTTGCGGGAAAATCTATGATGTGTGAAATATGGCTAATAAGTGCACAGAATAACCGGGATTGGGACCGTATAAATATCTGGTAACCAAATAGGTTCGTTCAGTTTTTAGTAGAAAAATATAATTTTTTATTGAGAAACAATAAGACACTATTGCGGTACATATTTTTCGCGCCGCCGCTGCAGCTTTTGTACCATGTTTGTACTCATACAGTAAACAACTTCGAATTACTGATTTATTCGTCGCTATTTTCAACTATTGAAACTAATGTAACAATTTTCAGCAACTTTTTATGTGTGTGAGAAAAGAAGGATTCATACCCAAGTGGTTTGGTTACCTGATATATCAAAAAAATAATCATATACCGCCCCCACCTTCTGCAACCCCCAACCCTTAAATTTCAACTACTACAATTTTTTTTCTGATCAAAACCCTCTGAAACGTTAAAAAACGAAGTTTGAGCGACTTTTATTTTTTCATCCTTGGCAACCTTGTGTAAAAATAAAATCCAAAAAACAATAACTTACGCGATTACAATACTTCCTCGCCCAGTGGTGTAGGAAGTAAAATTGAGTCGCAAAATTTTCTACCATGAGTGCGAGGCTTTATCATTGGTTAAATATGTGTAGAGTTACCTGAAATACTGTTAATAAGCTCTGCCAGAAAGTATCGAAATTGCTTCTAGTCTTTTCTTCAGTTTCTTTGTTGAACCTTCCACCAAACACTTGCATTCCAAGAAGTGCAAATATAACAATAAACAGAAAAAGTAACAGCAACAGAGATGCAATTGACTGGATTGAGTTCAACAACGAGGCAACTAAATTTGACAGTGATCGCCAATACCTGAAAGCCGTAATTATTATAGGAGATACGAAACGGATTGAAAAATCTAAGTTAGAAACCTAGACACCTTTGAAATAAGACAGCGTACAGCGCCATATATAACTAGAATCGACCAAAACACTTTGTCTAGTGTATAGTTGCTATGCTTTCGTTCTTGTCCGAGAAACCCAAGCCTAGGCCATGCTGACGAGTAGCCAAAAAGCACGAAACAGCTGTCCATGGTTGGCTGTCTTTGGACGAATGGACGAAAGCAGAGCATACTTATTTTGTTAGCAACATTTTTGAGAGTACGAATCTCAAAGTTAGTCGAAGAACGTTTTTTTTTATTGGCAAATCATTCCATGTTCTCAACATTTTTTAGATTGACAAAATGTTCGAAGTTTTTCAAAATATCGAAATCATGAAAATTTTGAACATTTTCCAGATTTTGAAAACCTGTGTTGAGACTTGTAACAACAGGTTCGTCAAGAAGGCCTTATTTCTTGTTCAAAATCCATTCCTCAAGCGATACTCGATCTTCAAAGAGCGTCGTTAAATTTGACCTGAAATTGTTCTCTAAGAATACGAGAGGTTATGTTGTTTAAATCTCATCGATATCAATGTTTCTACGTCTGGATTCTCACTTAGATTTTCAGTCCTTAATAAATTAGATAATTTTACTAAAGCGATGGCATGTCTAGATTTAGAATAAGTGAAATAAAAAATATGCATTTTTAAAAACAAGCCTTTAAATAGCTGTGAATATAATGAACTATAAATTTAAAAATAGTTTTTCGATTGTAAATATTTTAAGGATAATGAAACTCCTTCATCTCAGGTTTTCGAATAAAAGCATGTTACGCCATTTTTCTATCCTGCTGCCAAAAAGAAAACTTGAGATGAGGAGCTTCATTTTAGTTTGAATATATAAAATCGAAAACAATGTTTTTAAATTTTTAGTTCACAGCTTGTTTTTTAAAAAGTATTTTTTATTTTATTTATTTTTTACCTTTCAGTATTTATGATTTGAAATAAGAAGTTTAGTAATTTCTATATATACTAAGTGACATATAAATCCGAACACCCAGTTTAAATGGTTTTATTTTAATAAAAGTTGGTGAATGTATTTATCTTACTGTAAATAACAAGTGAAAAAATTTTCAGCCTTATCAGTTGGACATTCCGGTTTTTATACTGCTTTTTTTTAATTCACTAATGCTCTAAAAATGAATATTTCAGCCACAGTAAAGAATCAACGTTGGCGGATTTTGGTTCTTGACATCCTTTACTATCGGTTACGATGCCTAGAGTACGGAGACCTGTACGATTTCGTGAACTTAGTGAGTTTGATAGGGACCGTATAGTGGGACTTCGGGAAGCTGGACTTGCTTTTCGGGCAATTGCAGTTAGAGTGCAAAGAAGTGTAGACACTGTGGTTAGCTGTTGTCAGGCATGGCTTCGAGAAGGCCGTACGCAAAGAGCAAGGGGCACTGGACGCCGCCGTAGAACAACAGACCGTGAAGATCGCCGCCTAAGATTATTGGCCTTAAGGGACCGTTTCTCCACTACCAGGTCCATTGCAAATGAATGGTTTGCAGAACACGGAAGACCTATTGGCATGCGAAGTGTTTACCGACGAATGAGAAGTTTTGGCTTGTTTTCATACCTGCCACACTGGGTCCTCCCTTTAACTCGAGAACACCGACGTAATTCGCCTTGAGTGGTGCAGACAACGGTAACTCTGGGATCAGGAATGGAACAGTATTGTCTTTAGTGACGAGTCTCGATTTTGTTTAGGCATGCACGATGGTCGTGCCAGGGTTAGAAGGCGACGTGGTGAAAGGAGGAATCCACAGTTTTTTGTTGAAAGACATGTTCATCACACTGTTGGAGTTATGGTTTGGGGTGCTATAGCTTATGGTTCCAGGTCACCTTTAATCTTCATCAGAGGTAACATGAACGCGCAGCGTTATATCCACGAAGTTCTAGAACCCCATCTTTTACCCTATCTTGACACCCTGGCAGATCCAACTTTCCAACACGTGTGGGATATGATGGGTAGGAGATTGCTCAATTTGCAACGTCCTCCTCAGACTCTAGAAGCACTTCGAGAGGAGTTAGTGGTTGCCTGGAATGAGATACCACAGGAGGACATTGACCACCTGATCAGAAGCATGCCTAGGCGCGTTGGAGAATGCGTAGCACATCAGGGTACATCCACACATTATTAAAGGTCAAAGGGCTTTAAATCAGTGCAATCATTTTGAAATTTTTATCATTTACTTATTATGCTTCATTAAGTACTTATACAAAATTTTATTAAAATAAAACCATGGGTGTTCGGATTTATATGTCACTTAGTATAATTTTCAAATATATCCATGGAAATTATAAATCGCCATTTTGCGGCGGCCGGCATATTGGATTCCAAATAACATCACTTCCCTCATTATGTTTCCCTCATTAAGCTCTCTCATTTGATACCCATGACTTAGTGGTGACTATAGAAATTGTATATCGTCATTTTGCGATGCCTGCCATATTAGATTAAGAATGACGTCACATTGCTTATTATGTTCTTTTTTCATAAAGCCTTTTACTTTGATACCTGTATCCTCAAAAAAAATAAGGGCCTATAATCATCGTTGACCCCTAGTGCACACCAAACTGTAACTTTCGGGGTATGCAGGGGATGCTCATGCAACTGTTGGGGGTTCACTGGACAATTTTGTTTATTGACGTATCCATGTAAATGAAAACGTGCTTCATCACTCATAAACAACTTCGTGTCATTGTTATCGAACTATTCAATCATGAGCTGTGCAAAATTAACACGTTGCGCATAATCCCCTGGCAACAGTTTGTTGACAAACCTGGATTTTGTAAGGATGGAACACTAAATTCTTCTTCAAGATGCGACGTACAGAGGACGCCTGGGAACTGGCAGGCAAACGGATGGAACGATTCGGGCTTTGCAGCGTGTCAACTCTCACTCTGTCTACGTTTTCGGGGGTTCTTACAGTACGGTTTCGCCCTGTTGTGTTCAATGCTTCCACCCATCTCAAAATGGTGTTACGGTCTGGTACTGTCCCACGACGTGGAACACGAGAGTGAACTCGTTCGAACGACAGACTCGTCATTTTGAAGGTACCGACGTACAGTGAACACACGATGCTCAACGTTCCAAACCATCTTTCCAACTAAAACGGCACTTCTTCCACTATCCAACACGCGCTTCCCCACCGACACGGGACCAGCCCACTCGATGTAATACCCATTCGAAAAACATGCATTCTTTTGAAGGTACCGACGTACAGTGAACACACGATGCTCAATGTTCCAAACCATCTTGCCAACTAAAACGGCACTTCTTCCACTATCCAACACGCCCTTCCCCACCGACAGGGGACCAGCCCACTCGATGTAATACCCATTCGAAAAACATGCATTCTTTCTGAGGGACCCTATAAACGCCTTCTTGGGGCTATCACCAACCATATTGGATTTAGAATGGGCCTTTTATTCAATACCTATATAGGATTGACCATGACAAATTTTTATTCGGAATTTTTTGGCCTCCGCCATATTTGATTTAGCATTAAATCACTTTGCTTAACTCGTCATTTTGAAGGTACCGGCGTACAGTGAACACACGATGCTCAACGTTCCAAACCATCTTGCCAGCTAAAACGGCACTTCTTCCACTATCCAACACGCCCTTCCGCACCGACACGGGACCAGCCCACTCGATGTAATACCCATTCGAAAAACATGCATCCTTTCTGAGGGACCCTATAAACGCCTTCTTGGGGCTATCACCAACCATATTGGATTTAGAATGGGCCTTTTATTCAATACCTATATAGGATTGACCATGAAAAATTTTTATTCGGAATTTTTTGGCCTCCGCCATATTTGATTTAGCATTAAATCACTTTGCTTATTGTGTTTTTCTGATCAAGCCCTTTCATTTGGTGCCAATGTAATAAGGATAACTGTAAAAATGAAAATCGCCATTTTGCGGCAGCCGTCATATTGAATTTAGAATGACGTCACTTTGTCTATTGTGTTTCTCTCATCAAGCCCTTTCGTTTGATACTCCTATCATAGGGGTTACTATGGAAATAAAGGATAGCCATTTTGGTAGCATCTGCCATATTGGATTCAAAATGGCGGCGGTTAATCCATTTTGTATTATCACGCGTGTGTATAACATTTCAGCTCAATTGGTGAAGGTTAACAGGTTCAAAATCCAGTTCCAAGATCGGTCAAGCGGTCAAGTTAAATGAAAGCTTTTTTTTAGCAAACGTTCCAGACTCCTTTTCAATAGTCCTGGATACTGCCTAACGATACAATGGACCTAATTTAAATTATCCAGAAGAAAATCCTTGTCTTATCAGCTAGCTAAAATGCAAATGGAGCTTTTACGAGTTTGTTCACGGAATTTTACTGTCAGACGAAACTTTATTTCTAGACAACGGAGGGCTGCACCAACTTTATTGTGTTTATCTAAGATTTTCAAATGTCAGCGCTAGCGGTTAGGAGTAATTCATTAAGAGTAAAAATTACATTTCAGTAACTGCATTTCGTGATAGTCTCGGCAATCTCATTGGCTTAGCAATTTTTTGTACTGAAGAAGTATAATTATGCAGTTTAAAATGTAAAACAAGAGGGCGTCACAAAACAGACCAAGCGAAAACGCTGAATGCTCCTCAAGTGAATCAAGTGGGTGACGGGCAGTAAGGGCGGATTTAGGAATCTGTATAGGGGGGAAGCATTCATTAACAGAAAGATGTTCATCTCTGGGGCGGACGGAGGCGACCGGCCATTAAAAATTCAGTAAGGGGGTATTTGCCCGATACTTAACCTGGAGACGTGGCAACGCGACCAGAGCATAGAAAACACTATGCAGTGGCGCTGCAGAAATACTAGATATTGATATTGGCAGTCAATTTACTTTATAACTTATAAGAGGTTTAATTTCTCCACTGATTTGAGGTGGAATATTTCATCAGAGATTGCTGTAACCTTCGTCCTTTTCATAAACAAAAATAATTTAATTTTCTAAAAAGAAAACTCAAGTGCAACCTAGACATGCCAATGCAAAAACACTATAATACTTTGGTATCAACATTATACTTACTTTGTAACTTTAAATACTCTCAACAATCTAACACAACGTAACACAGATATACCTAATGGAGGCATAACTTTTGTATTCGTTAAAATCATCTCCATAATACTACCAATAACGACGAAACAATCAAATCTATTGAATAATGATACAAAGTAACCCTGAAAAATAAGTTATAGTTATATTAGGCCCAACCAGCAAAGTAAAGCACTTAAGAGTGTACAACAGACTAGCAGCTTGTAATACGTAAAAGTATCAAAACTCTACAAACGTGCCTACTGTCTGAAAGATATTGTTTTCTCTAGTACTTTCATTTTGTTTATGCTAGTCTGGTTGTACATCCCTCGTAATAAAGGTATTCGTAAAGAATAGGGCATATATCCAACTGTTCTAGAATTTCAGAGAGCGAAATAGCTCTTGTTATTTTTTGGAGCTCATTTCTTGTGGCTTTCCAATATTATTCAAGTTAAAGGTTAATAAAAATATGTAACTCATTGCAATATTTCGAAATACCGCATGGAAAATCGCCCAACACCTTTGTCATCAATGCAGATAATACTATAATTTGTTACGTGTTGGTAGTGACCAAGTGGACGTTCCAGGATAGAGGACTGAGTGAGGACTGAAGAAAATATTGCGGCTGTATCCGCCAGTGTTAGTGATGACCGTGAAATGTCGATTCGCCGCCGTTCGCAGCAATTGGGCCTCTGTTACTCCACTACGTGGAAAAGTTTGCGACAGGATTTGGGTGTAAAACCTTATAAGATACAGCTGGTGCAAGAATTGAAGCCACACGACCTCCCACAATGGTTCCAATTTGGTGAATGGGCGCTGGCAAAGTTGGAGGAAGATCCACATTTTTATCGAAAAATTGTGTTCAGCGACGAAGCTCATTTCTGGTTGAATGGGTACGTTAACAAGCAAAATTGACACATCTGGAGTGAAGACCAGCCAGAAGCATTGCAAGAGCTACCAATGCATCCCGAAAAAATCACTGTTTGGTGTGGATTATGGGCCGGTGGCATCATCGGGCCGTACTTCTTCAAAGACGACAATGGGCGGACCGTAACTGTGAATGGCGAGCGCTACCGTGCGATGATAACAAACTTTTTTTTGCCCAAAATGGAAAAGCTGGACTTGGCTGACATGTGGTTTCAACAAGCCGGTGCCACATGCCACACCGCACACGAAACAATGGCCCTATTGAGAGGCGAGTTCGGTGAACGGACTATTTCTTGTGGGGCCATGTTAAGGCTAATGTCTACAATGATACACCAGCAACGATTGATGCACCGGAAGCCAATATTGAAGCATTTATTCTTGAAATACCGGCCGATATGTTGGAGAGAGTGTGCCAAAATTGGACCTTGCGCATGGGCCATCTAAAGCGGAGCCGCGGCCAATATTTACATGAAATAATCTTTAAACATTAAATTATATCGACCGTTCTATCGACTCAAATCAAGATTTAATCGTTTCTCCAAATTTTTTGTGTTTTTTTTTGGAAAATCAAATCCTATACCTCTTAAAAAATCACCCGTAATTATAATGATAATGTCTTTCTTTCATATTTAATCCGTCTATAAAGTTTTATTTGACCCAAGATTAAATATCAATACGTATTAATACTCAAAAACGATGTGGATTTAAGAAACCATCCTCAAGAAAGAATTTTTCCTCAAATATTAAGAAAAAATATACCTAACTTGAAAGTCTTTTATCATGTTTAGAGACTATACATACTTTGGTTGGATCCCCCAATAAACAAATATTGAAATAACTAAAAACCCAAGTAAAAACTATCATGATTTTTTGACAAACTAGCTCGAGCTGACTGCATTCTCTACGTTTTCCTATTCAATATCTTCAAACACTGAGAGCAATTAGCAACAGTTCAAATTATCGCGTAAAATGAATAATTCCAGTTCAGCCTGGCGATGGTGAAATTTAATATTCGATGTGCTCAAACAACAAATCGATATCATCAGATCATGTAACTAATGAAGTGATTTCGTAGAAGAAGCTCTAACAAAGAAAATTACTGAACCTTGTAAAGCAGTGTGAATTGGGATATAAACTTGGGGCAGACAATTTATTCACCCTTCAAATTCAGATCAACGAACAATTATTGTCAGACAGGAAGTATTACGTTTGCCTTCTGATTATTCACAAGTCAACTGGAATCATCGTCTACCAATGAAGATCAAACTAGGAGTCTTTAAAAACGCTGAAAACGTTTTGCATAATTTATTTTCGTTCCAGAGGCACCAGTGGCGTAGATACTTACAAGAAGCTGACAATTATTTTTTATGCGGCTTTATCTAATTTTACATGAGTTACCTCTCTTGGTATTTTTCTCAGTGACAAATTATTTTTAATGTTTGAGGTAAAATCCGTATAAACAGCTTCATTCCGATCCATTCTAGAATAGAAGTATGATTTTCTGTCATTACGGCATTTAAAATTAATATTGAATTCAGCTTGGCTTTCGATGGTGGTAAGATATCAGCATTGTTGTTAAATGCATAATATCCTAAGGCATTGACCGAAGTTAGTACTTTCTGTATAAATTGATATTTCAGTTGATTCAATGATTTTGAAAATATATAGACGTTTACACAGTAGAGTCCATTCTCATGTAGCAGTAACGATATTAATACGTTGGTTTTTCCACAGTTCGATGGTCCAACAAAATACAGCGGATTGTGGATGGGAGGAGATGCCGCTGCATAGCATTGTTTTATATATCCGCCACTTGTATCAATATTGCTGATAAACAATTCTTGTTTCTGTTTTGTGACCCTCATTGTACGAGTTAAGCATATACAGGGTGTCCCGAAAAAAGTGTGCAATATTCTACCAGCGGTTTCTAGAGATTAAAATAGGAAGAAAAGTTTATATAAACATAGGTCGACAAACGTCCCCTAAGGGCGCTACGGTCTTTTAAAGGGGCTTCAGTGAAGATGGTTTTTCCTTAATATCTCCGAAACGTGTTGAGATAAAGACATACAATTTGGTAGTCTAGTCTAGTTTTTTATGCTGGATTTAAAAATATTAACAATTTTAGACAGATTTGTTTGGAAGCGTATGTAACAGGTACGGACTCAGGTTATTTTAGCCCCAAAATTTTTGTGTGATTCTATTTTTGAAATTCAATTTTAGAATTTGAAAATTTAGGGTTTTCTACATAAAAAAGGTACTCTTATTGAATATCGATAAATTGTGCCATTTTTGAATAAAATCAAACTAAAAAATTTGTCACATGATAGGAAATGTACTGCGAATTTAAATGAATTGTTGAATAATTAGCCATGCCAACGAAAAAACTAATTTAATAATTGGTAAATATTACATAAATATATATTTCTATTGCAAAATAGCTAACATTTAGGCAAAAAAAAGAAATACATTTTTTCTACGAACGAAATTGGAATTTGTTTAAAAAAGAAGACATACAGTTGGATATACTTAAAACTAGCTTTACAATAAGTGTTCAAATAAATTCCCATTTTATTGGATACAGAGTCTCGCTCGACGAACTAACGATTGCGTAGCCCGAAAAGTGGAAAACCTTTTTCTTCTTAGTTCATTTGCAGCCTGATGGATTCTTTGAAGTAAATCTTGTTGAGTATTTACTTCAGACGAGTAAACTAGGTCTTTTAATGACCCCCAAAAATAGAAATCCAATGGATTTAGGTCAGGTGAACGTGGCGGCCACGCTATAGGACCTCCTCGGCCTAACCACCTGTCTGGAAAATTGACATTCAACCAATTTCGAACATTGCGTCCAAAATGTGCAGGGGCGCCATCATGTTGAAATAACATATGTTCTTGAAACTGCTGGCGCACATCCAATGGTATTATACCCATGAGCTCATTCTTAAGAAAGAATTCAGACGATTGGGAAGTACAATAGGCCCAATTCCTTGGTCCCCAATTACTCCTGCCCATAAGTTCAATGAAAATCTATGTTGGAAATTTGTACGGCGAACAACTTTTGGATTTTCATCTGACCAGTGATGCATGTTATGGAAATTAAAAGCACCATTCCTAGTAAATATTGACTCGTCCGACCATAATTTTCTAGGAATAGTGTTTTCATTTGCTAATATCCACTGGCAAAACTCGATTCGTCGTAAAAAATCTGCCTCCGTTAAATGCTGCACCCGTTTAAAATGATAAGGATGTAATCCTTGCATTCTTGTCATTCTTCCTATCTAAAATTATTATTTTTAGGATAACTATCAAATAGGTATTCATAAATTTTTCTTACTATTGATCGAGGTATATCCATAATTTCTGAAACATTTCGTATGCTTATTTGCGGATTATTTTCAAACATATTTACAGCAATATCCGTACGATGATTTCCCAGTGGCCTTCCTGAGCCCTGCATGCGCTGAAAACTTCTATGATTTGACAAATTCCGGTGAATGTCAGTAAACATTCGACGTCCAGGTACTATGCGATTGGGAAATCTTCTTTGATACACAAAATGCATATCAGTCAGTTCTCTGTCTGTAAATCTTGGCATTTTAAATCGATTTAATCAAAATCTTGATCTTAATCTAGTAATTTTGCACTGCTAACAATGTCTGCCTAACGTCAAAATAAGTCATAACAAATCAAAACAACTTTTGTTTGCAGTCATGGCTAACTATGTATAATCAACAATTCATTTAAATTCGCACTACATTTCCTATCATGTGACAAATTTTTTAGTTTGATTTTATTCAAAAATGGCACAATTTATCGATATTCAATAACAGTACCTTTTTTATGTAGAAAACCCTAAATTTTCAAATTCTAAAATTGAATTTCAAACATATAATCACACAAAATTGTTGGAGTTAAAATAACCTGAGTCCGTCAATGATACATACGCTTCCAAACAAAACTGTCTAAAATTGTTAATATTTTTAAAACCAGCATAAAAAACTAGGCTAGAATACTAAATTTTATGTCTTTATCTCAAGACGTTTCGGAAATATGAAAGAAAAACCATCTTCCTTCATACCTTTAAAAGACCGTAGCGCCCTTAGGGGACGTTTGTCAACTTTTCTTCCTATTTTAAGCTCTAGAAACCGCTAGTAGAATATTGCACACCTTTTTCGGGACACCCTGTCATCTTATTTATTTAAATGCCACTACTTCGCATTAGGTGTCAAAGCACTCTAAAAGCTGGTGGTGGTGGTGGTGGTGGTGGTGGTGGTGGTGTCGATACGCTGATAGATAAGTTACCATTCACTGCCTTCTCTGGGCTTTATATAGACTGACGAGGTCATGCGGAGAAAAGTACTTTTTAGCCCTAAAAAACAGCCTAGATTTTCACCACCAGCTGGGAATAGTAGTAATTCAAGAGAAGTTAAGGTACTAGTATTGCAGGAAATAAACTTGGACACCATGTATTTTGGTGCCGAAGCCGTAAAATACATAAGTTGATATGCATTTCTTTATTCAGCCTGTTGGGGTCTATCTATAATAACGTGAATAACCGTGTTTTTTACCTCAAAATATTATTGGGAATATCTCTGGTTCCGTTAGATATTATGCCCTATTCCTTGAAGATCCATCTTCTTCAAATACTTACTTGGAAACCTAGACTATACATTTTTAACAACATTTCCATTGTAAACAGGGCGATAAAAAACATGTTTGTATACTCTGAAAAATAAATAATGATTCAGTTTCCAGCCCATACATTCTAAATCCAAGTTAGATGAAAATTAGTCTTTATGAGACCGTTTTTTGAAAAAAAAAACATAAAAATTAATCAAGTCAAATCATGTTTTTGTTTACTATCAGTGCGGCATATGAACAAAAGACGTAATGTAATAACTCAAAAATATTTTCTGACTAAAGTCTTATAATACCTGTATGACACATTGGTCGGTTGTTAAAGTCATTTTAATGGTCAATAATTGGACCTCTCACATAAATTATACTTTGTAGTTAATATTGGAAATCTCGGTCGAATCAAATTTAGTTTTACTACCACTGTTTGTGCCAGTATATATAGTCATACGTATCGTAAAAGATAGGAAGCATAAACCATTAAACTAAAGCATTTTAATAATATTTGATCAATGGTTGTCTGTTCACATTATATCTGTTGTGATATTTTAATATATTTTAATAAAAATCATCCACCGCTGATCATGTATTCACGTATACCGGGTGTTTCAATTTCGATTTGGGTAACCAACAAAATGCCTGATGAAGATGGCAAAGTTCATTGAAAGCTAGAGACTAATAAAGTATAAAGAGTCCTCATTGCTTGAATTTTGTCGAAGTACCCAACTAAAGGCGGAAGCTTTATTTTTCACCTAACTGGTCTAGACGACAATGACCACGTCCAATATGGCGTCTTTCAGAAAAAATGAAGTTGATGGTGGAGGACAAGACACGAAGCGTCATATTGAATGCGCAATTTTTCCCTCATCTTTATAGTCGAACTTGAAACACCCGGCATATCGAAGTTCTCCCATGAAAGCCGGTAAAGTCATTAGGAACCCCAGACCGTTGTTAAATGTCATTTTAATAACTTTCGCTATTGGAATTCTTCGATATTGGGTTGCTGAGGTCCGATTTTTCAACCGCAGGCTAACTTTCATTTGATTTAACTACAGGGTGGCCGATACGTAACTGACTGCTCTGTATCTTAAATATTTGTAAAATGAAATAAAACACTTCCATTTTTTTATCTTAGTCTCTCATTGAAACTAAGAAATTACGAGTATCATTATCCGATGTCGGTAAAAATCTTTATTTTGGGTATTAAGCTGCAATGGTCACTAGGCTGTAGTTCTTGGGTTTAACTGAAATTTGTATCGCCGCAAATGCAAGTCCTTCTTTAAAAGACGTGCAATGAATACCCAGTTCTTGAGAACGATGTCTGGTAGACGTCTCAGGGCGCTCCACTATACTTTCACGAACTATTTCAATATTTTCCGGAGTACAAACAATTCGAACACCTTGACGAATGATGCGTCAACTTTCTATTCATCTCGTACATGGTCCTCTGCCTAAAGTTAACTACCGTTGTACAGAATTGAAAGATGGCTTTTGAGAGAAATCTCCCGGTCGGCAGTAAAATTACAGTTGATCTGCGATTAAAAAACCTAAATCTTAAGTATATGTTACTTCTCGGACAGTTCATAACTTGATATTAAATATTTTAACAATCCCGGCACTGCAGCTCCTAAACTAGAGCTTAGAATAGTTTTAAAAGGTTAGGAAAGTCTACAAGATATTAAAAAACGGATACGACTCGAGAAAATAATTATATTGAACCAAATATTTGGAAGCGCATACCAGAGCGAAATCCGGGGATCTAACCTGCCGTTAGGGAAAGATGAGGCATTTTATAAATTTCCTTTGATTTTCGGGCACGTGGCGTGTCCTTAGGATAAAGATGGAATACTTGGTGAGAGACAACAATAGTTTCGCTATTTTATGCTATAAGTTATTTTCGTAGTACTGTTACATTATTTTTTTATGACAAACTGCGACATATTGATGCTTTTTAAGCAAAATTCATTTTCGAGACATTTCTATATCATTAATATTTCGCAGAATCAAATCACTGACTCAAAAACAGTTTTTGACGAGTGGAATTGAAATTGAATTCAGCTGTGGTCAAGGGACATATAAATCCGAACACCCAGTTTAAATGGTTTTATTTTAATAAAAGTTGGTGAATGTATTTATCTTACTGTAAGTAACAAGTGAAAAAATTTTCAGCCTTATCAGTTGGGCATTCCGGTTTTTATACTGCTTTTTTTTAATTCACTAACGCTCTAAAAATGAATATTTCAGCCGCAGTAAAGAATCAACGTTGGCGGAATTTGGTTTTTGACATCCTTTACGATCGGTTACGATGCTTAGAGTACGGAGACCTGTACGATTTCGTCAACTTAGTGAGTTTGATAGGGGCCGTATAGTGGGACTTCGGGAAGCTGGACTTTCTTTTCGGGCAATTGCAGTTAGAGTGCAAAGAAGTGTAGACACTGTGGTTAGGTGTTGTCAGGCATGGCTTCGAGAAGGCCGTACGCAAAGACAAAGGGGCACTGGACGCCGCCGTAGAACAACAGACCGTGAAGATCGCCGCCTAAGATTATTGACCTTAAGGGACCGTTTCTCCACTACCAGGTCCATTGCAAATGAATGGTTTGCAGAACACGGAAGACCTATTGGCATGCGAAGTGTTTACCGACGAATGAGAAGTTTTGGCTTGTTTTCATACCGGCCACACTGGGTCCTCCCTTTAACTCGAGAACACCGACGTAATTGCCTTGAGTGGTGCAGACAACGGTCACTCTAGGATCAGGAATGGAACAGTATTGTCTTTAGTGACGAGTCTCGATTTTGTTTAGGCATGCACGATGGTCGTGCCAGGGTTAGAAGGCGACGTGGTGAAAGGAGGAATCCACAGTTTTTTGTTGAAAGACATGTTCATCACACTGTTGGAGTTATGGTTTGGGCTGCTATAGCTTATGGTTCCAGGTCACCTTTAATCTTCATCAGAGGTAACATGAACGCGCAGCGTTATATCCACGAAGTTCTAGAACCCCATCTTTTACCCTATCTCGACACCCTGGCAGATCCAACTTTCCAACAAGATAATGCCCGACCACATGTTGCAAGAGTCACAATAGACTTCTTTCAACATAATGATGTCACATTGTTACCATGGCCACCAAGATCTCCCGACTTATCCCCAATAATTGAGCACGTGTGGGATATGATGGATAGGAGATTGCTCAATTTGCAACGTCCTCCTCAGACTCGAGAAGCACTTCGAGAGGAGTTGGTGGTTGCCTGGAATGAGATACCACAGTAGGACATTGACCACCTGATCAGAAGCATGCCTAGGCGCGTTGGAGAATGCGTAGCACATCAGGGTGCATCCACACATTATTAAAGGTCAAAGGGCTTTAAAGCAGTGCAATCATTTTGAAATTTTTATCATTTACTTATTATGCTTCATTAAGTACTTATACAAAATTTTATTAAAATAAAACGATTTAAACTGGGTGTTCGGATTTATGTCATTTAGTATATGATACTAAACTTTCCAGTCATAGAGCGCAAATGAGTAAAAAGTTCGCGTACACAAAATCCATTTTCATTTAGATGAAAATTGGCAGGGAGTTGAACCAATTGAGGCTTGACAGGCTTTCACGGCAGACTTTGAAATTTTTGTCGCAAAAATTACCTTGAAAATCATCCAACCAGTGAGGTTGGTTATAATGTTCAGTAGCCAGAACACCGGTATTGAGAAATACCAAAACAATGATTAACCAATAAAACGTTTGGGATTTGACAGCCTTCCTACAAGCTCTTCTCATCCTCCTGTTAACCCTTTCAAAATCTTTCTTCTTCTTCTTGAACCATGACTCTTGTTGAGCTTCCTCCTCACCAATGTGGTCCGTGGACTCCATTTCGTTCTGTTGGACATTTCTGTTGTCTTGGTTCTGACGATCCTCGCCTTCAGGATCGATGTCTTCCGCTTGGGTTATCCAGTCTAGATAACCACGAAGGTCTTCTTCGAGTTGCTGTTTTTCTCGGAGTTTGTGGAAGTCCCCTCTCGCTTTCGCCTTTTCTCTTTCTTTAGAGAACTCACTAGACACGAAATCATCAAGTTACTGCCGCAACAAAAGCTCGATTTTACTACTGACCAGAGGGAACCAAAATTTGCGTCTTTGGCTCAAATTGGACCAATAATAAGGCGTCTTTGAAGTAGGCAATGGTTCCTGTAAATTTTCTCCCAAACTAGATAGAAATTATATTGGCGCAAATTCCATCATTAGCAAGGATAATACCTGATACAGTAGATTGATATGGCGCCGTTGCTGAGCATTTCATTTAAAATAACAGTCTCTCACTGTTGCTGCATAACATTCTGCTTAATAAATTCTTTGAGGATATAAATAAAATTACAGGATGCTTATTCTGTGAGAAATATGGAGTAATTAATCAATTTACTTGACTACTGTTCGAAAAAACGCATTTCCTGAAGCCAGCCCTGTTACTGTTAACAGGAAATGCCGCGCACTCAGTAGAGTGGGAGACTTGACGATCACGCTACGCCGCGTTGTCCTACTACGCAATAGAGGGCGCGAGATCTCCCTGCTAACAGGGCTGGCTCAAGAAGCAGGGTAGTCAAGTAAATTGAATATTTACTGGATGTTTGTCGACGAATACCAATTTATTTATATTTTTCAAAGAACTTATCAAGCGGCTCGTCTCAGTCAAATCGGCTCTAGGGGCCACAATGGTCAAGTTTCATGAATAGTGTGTGATTGGTCTAAGTAATTTATGAATTTTGCTTTCCACAACAATAGGAAAAGAAAAATTGAAAATGCGAAAAACTTGCATGAGTGGATATTGGGCCTTGGGTTATCTGTGTGTCCAACATTCCTCGAGATAACATTTTAACAGAGGTAAACAAAAACAAAGACAAAACATTGAAGTTGTTGTCACAGCATGCTTCAAATATAGTCATTATGTTGATGGAATTATTTTTTCTGTGCTTCTCATCTCTGGAGTCCCCTGAAGTTTTCCTATAATGTTTGGGTTGTAAAGCATTCCTAGTATCATACCGACCGTTGTTTGTGCAGTAACTATGAAGCATTTCACATCTACTCACCCACTCAGGACACCAAGAATCAGGTTCATAACAAAGAATGCTCCCAAAATAACCATAGATACAAAATAAGACCATTGCCATGTTCTGCCTAATGCATCTTGTATCTAAAATATTATTTCAGTCAACATATAATTTCATATTTTGATATACAGGGTGGCGCATCGAAAACGAAACACATTTACTGGCAGCTGAGTTTTTTTTTTGGAAAAACGCTCAGACGCGTCGATTTCGTTTTCGAGGGGGACACAAGTTTGTCAAAAAATCACGTTAACACGTGCAGCCCCCTAAGCGGGGGTGACACCACCCCCAAAATCTTAAATGGAAAGGGGGTCGAGTGATACCTTATTTTAAAGGTCTTTCAATTCTCCTTATAATGATATAAAATTAATGTACTTCAGTTCAGTAGTTTTGAAGATTTATTGATTTAAAGCTTAAATAAAACGAATATCAATACATTTGGCAGCAAAATAATTTAAAAATGAAGAATGAACTGACCCGTTAGGCAAGTAAATGTTGAAAATGGTCATCATGACTCTCCATGCAGTAATGAAGATTTTGCTCAAAACGTTGCCGCACATTTTGCAATATTTGAGGAGTAATTTGAAAGCACTCATTCACAATTCTTTGTCGCAGGTCTTCTGATGATGTTGGCTGAGTAGCACAGATTTTGCTTTTCAAATAACCCCACCTAAAGATATCCAAATGTGATAAATCTGACGATCTTGGGGGCCATCCAATGGCACCTCTTCTACCAATCCATCGATCTGGAAACGTCTGATCTAAATATTGTCGAACAGGTAATGCATAATGTGGTGGGGACCATCCTGTTGGAACATCTACCTATTCGCAATGTACCGCCGATCATTCTGATTTTCAATTATGGCTGTTAATGCAGCATCTATGGCGTCTTCCAGTTATTCCAAATACATTTCACCGGTCAAATTTCCAGGTAAGAAAGAAGGACCAACTAAATGATCCCAAAAATACTAACCCAAACATTTAATTTTTGTGGCTGCTGTGTATGAACCTCATGATAAATTCTGGGATTAGAATCGGACCATTATCGGCAGTTATGACGATTTACTACGCCAAAATGTTCATCGTTTATAATTCGTTCACTCATATCTTCACACAATTGTAATCGCCGATCAAAATCGTCTTCATTAAGTTCTTGTACCAGGTGAATTTTATACGGATGAAAACTATGGGCCTTTAGAATCCGTTGGACAGTACGTCGACTAACACCACACACAGTCTCCAATTTGCGGGTACTTAACGTAGGATCTACATAAACTTGCCCTAAAACCCCACTTCTATTGCTTCGTTCCTTATGGGATTTTCAATGTTTTCAAACAAACCATGGGCGTAGTGAAGGAAAGCATTAACTTATTAACTAAATTCTTTTAGTCAAATTTCCTCTGAAAGTAGTACAAACTAATCTGATGTACCTATTAAAGTCTACTTTAAGCTTTAAATCAATAAATCTTCAAAACTACTGAACTGAAGCTCATGTATTATACATCATTATAAAAGGAATTGAAAGACCTTTAAAATAAGGTATCACTCGACCCCCCTTCCCATTTAAGATTTTAGGGTTGGTGTCACCCCCGCCCACGTGATTTTTTGCCAAACTTGTGTCCCCCTCGAAAACAAAATCGACGGGTCTGAGCGTTTTTCCAAGAAAAAAACTGAGCTGCCCGTAAATGCGTCTGCTTCGTTTTCGATGCGCCACCCTGTATATACACTGTACAGGTTGACAAAACGTAGTGAGAAGAACTAAATCAGCGTAGTCACTTGATTATGGTGGCATGACGTATAGACAAAGTTCTAGGTACAAAACATATGTAATTTGACCAACCATATAGTGATAGTTCATGTTGTGCTGATCGAATGTGCCAATGAGCGCAAAGCCCAGAAATGCTTTCTATTGGAGATACAGGGTGTTGAAGTTTAGTGCCTTATCCACTCTGGACACGCCTCCTTGCTCCATTTTGCGAAAAATAGTCCCTCTTTCATTGTATATTCAGGGAGCAGACGCTCGATAACGTAAACACGGGATAATGAAAACTTGCGCTAATGTAAACACAAACTTCGTTCTGTAGGATCAAACGGAACGCGCGATAACGTAAACAATGTGTACGCTCGATAACGTAAACAACTCTCGGCGCACGGAAACAGCGCGACGGTAAAATGCTGAAGCCTCGATGATTTATGTCGGGCATCGGGGAGTCCCCGATTTATGATGTAGAGTGTAGGGGATTCACCTCTGCGATAAAATCCGACAAACTCGGTCAGTCGTATGATCGTTTAGGATACGTTTATACGTACGTATGTATTCAATTTTTGAACTTAAGTAAATACATTGCACGCCTTAATATATTTTACGACTATGGCATCCACATCCTATAAAAGAAAGTGTTTAAAGTTGAGTGAGAATGTGAAAATCATAGACGAAGTTGCACTAGGTGCGGGAGTGACACAGTTAGCAAAAAAATATGGAGTATCGAAAGCAACAATCTGTAAAATTAAGCATATGAAAACTCAAATTTTACAAAGAACGTGCAATACATTTGGAGGTCCGGGAAAAAGAAAAACATTAAAAAATGCGAAGGCACCTAAAATAGAAAATTCCCTGTATAAGTGGTTTTTAAAACAACGGGAAAATCATGTCCCAGTTAGTGGCGAAGTACTTAAACAGAGAGCGAGACTGTTAAATGAAAAACTGAAAGAAAGTGAAAATTTCGTAGCTAGTGATCGCTGGCTACAATGATTCAAAACAAGATATGGAATTCGACTGCTGTCTATATCTGGTGAAAAATTATCAGCACAACCACAATTAGTGCAACCATTCAAAGAAAAATTGATGAAAACAATTACCGAGCTAGATTTAAGAATGAAACAAATTTACAACGCAGATGAAAGTGGCCTTTATTGGAAAATGTTACCAGAGAAAACCTATGCTGCATCATTTGAAAAATCTGACCCGGGAAGAAAGCCGGAGAAACAACGAATAACGTTTCTAGCCTGCACTAATGCTAATGGTTCACACAAAATAAAGCCACTGGTAATTGGGAAAGCAAAAAATCCGCGCTCATTTAAAAATGTTAATATCCCTGTTGATTATGACTGTTCAAAAACCGCTTGGATGACTAGCAGTATATTCCTGAAATGGTTCCACAGGTGCTTTGTCCCTCAGGTATGACAATCAATTATCACAAATGCTCTATTCATAATTTGAAGATGTGTTTTCAATTTGTAGATAAAAGGTTTCCTAAAACAACAGAAGCTTCCAATAAAAGCGTTTTTACTATTGGATAATGCACCAAGTCATCCTCCCGAGCAACAACTGAGGAGCAGGGATGGGTCAATTTTCGTCATGTACATGCCCAACGTAACACCGTTAATTCAACCGATGGACCAGAATATAATAAGACTCACCAAACTATACTATAGGAAGTTTCTACTTTCGTCTGTCTTATCAAAGAATCCTGAAAACTTATCTGAGGCTTTAAAAAAAGTAACATTACGAGAAGCTGTTTTAGATTTACATATGGCCTGGAATGAACTTAACCAGCAAACTATTCAAAAATGTTGGAACAATCTCTTTTGTACCAATAATGAAGATGATGAAGAAAACGATGTCCCCTTAAGTGTAATTAGAGAACGTTTGCGATCCAATAATGATAATGTTATTAGTGTGTCATTGGATGTTGTTGATTTATTGAAAACAGTGAATCCCAACATTGTTTGTACTCCTGCTGATATTAATTTATGGAATGAAGATAAGCAGACAAATGATGCTGATAAGGAGGAGGATATGGACAGTGAGGATGATGAGAACGATCCCATTGAAGTCAGAAGTGTAGTGACTGACGCGCAAGCTATACAAGTTTTTAACCAAGCTTTAGATTGGGCTGAAAGAAAATAAGTTTCATACACGGATATTTTAGTTCTTCGTAAATTACGGGAGCAGGCATTGGAAGACAATGCTAAGCGCAAATTTACGCAGACAAAAATTGTTAATTACTTTTCTTCTAATTAAAAAAATACTTATCGCTGTTAGAATATTTGTTTATTTTGTTATAAATAGTATGTATTAAACGTTTCTTTTAATAAATCAAATATTATATAAATCACGTTCGCTAATGTAAACATTTCGATAATGTGAACCACACTTGGATTAAATTAGTTTACATTATCGAGCGTCTGCTGTATTTATTTCTATTAAAAACTTTTGTACCACTATAATCATTCATTTAGGACTCCTTACTTAATTATTTTGCCAACCTGTCTGTGTAGAAATCCTCTTACATTGTAAAGTACGTCAGTCCAACCTTCTAAGGTAATACATTGGAACACAGTCAACATGGATAAACCAAAATTATCGAAATTAGTTATACCGTCGTTTGGTCCTTTCCACCCATCCTTACAAATCATCTCCTCGCCATACTGCGAACAGTTGAATCCAACCCCGTCCCTACCGCACGGATGGGGGTTATCCATCCACTGTCCTGAAAAGTAAGAAACCATTGCAGATCAATGCTAGTGATCTGTCAAATGAAGTTAACGACATTTGTCGGCGTGATGTGACGCGCGCGGGGATGGACGCGGAACTGGCCGATGCACAAACGGGTATTTGAATTAAAAATCCGGACAAAAGTCGATTTTGCAGGAACAGATGCTAGAAGAAGCCCCACACTTTTTTTCTTTACCCACTGCTATTTCTCGCCAGTAGTCTCGATGCGAATTTGATCATTCTTCATTGCTCACGTATCTGTTCTCAGCGTATTTATCGTGACCATATTTCAAAGTTTTTACAAGTTATTACAAATCGTGTTCCAGTTTCTCAACATAGACGTTTCTGAGGCAGGTATGTACAACCCATTTTGTCAATTTTAATTGTAATATTAGCTAATTTATTAGCAAAAATGACGTTTTCGCGAAATCTATGTTCCAATCATTTTTGATATTAATTAAACCCGAATGGTTTTGATGGATTTCTGGATGTATCCCGGTTATGATTTTGGTCTCATAGTATACAGGGTATTTCAGTTTATTGTTGCATAACTTTAAGATTCGATAGAACTTTTAAAATTGGTATACAAGGGTTTTTTGGTACGACAAAACGAACCATGGGCATAGTTTGAAATGACCGAAAATTTTTTCTTAGTGCAATTTTTTGCTTTTTGAATAAAAAACTGATTCTTCGCACTTTTCTGCATAAAAAAGCTCTCCTGTGAGTTTTCGTTATAGTTAGCCGTTTTTGAGATATTTCAATTTTTAAGGTTCGATGCATTTCTAATTATTTATGGCAAAATAATATTTTTTAAAAATGCATCGAACCTTAAACATCGAAATATCTCAAAAACGGCTAACTATAACGAAAATTCACAAGAGAGCTTTTTTATGTTGAAAAGTGCGAAGAATCAGTTTTTTTATTCAAAAAGCAAAAAATTGCACTAAGAAAAATTTTTCGGTCATTTCAATACACTACAGGTACAGTAGAGAGCGCCCTCTGGCGGCTACAGTAAAACTATGCCCATGGTTCGTTTTGTCGTGCCAAAAAACCCTTGTATACCAATTTGAACAGTTATGCATCAAATATTGTTCGAAATATTTAAAAAAAACTATTTTAGAAAGTATATTTAAACACCCTGTATTTCGGAAGCCACGCATTTTTCGACCTATGTTTATATAAACTTTATGCATTAATTTTAAAAGTTCTATCGAATCTTAAAGTTATGCAACAATAAACTGAAACACCCTGTATAATTAGATGTTGGCTAGTCATATCGACAAAAAATGTTTCCAACTTCATCCAAATTTCAGCATAATCGCCAAATAAAAGATGAACGTTCGTTTAAGCCATTTCTTTTCTTTCTTTATAGAGCGCTCTCTAGTCAAGATCATGACTCGGAAAAAATTTTATGACATTATGCAAGGGTATCCCAATAACGACATTAACAAAATATTGAGTTCTCAAAATTATTCAGAAGAACAACGAAAAGAAGTTAAACACAAATTGCCAAATCTAAAATCACAAATAAAACGTAGATGGATTGCCGCACATTACATAGAATATCTTTAAAAGAAATAATCGTTGGCGGCCTAATGACATTTGAAATACCACAAACAAAATCACGACCAGGGCGCCCACATTAATATTTGCGAGCGATGTAAAACTCCTTGATGAAATAAGTTGACCTTTGCCATTCATACGAAGTTACGTTCTGAGGGCAAGACTGATGCTTCAAATGTGATAAAGAACCTAAGGCAATCTCCAACGCGAGCAAAAAATATCGAAAGCGTTCATTCAATCTCAAAATGACGGAAAGCAGCGATCAACCGTATTAACCCCAATGAGCATTGTTCTACTATACCCATGTTATCCTGTACAAGAATCTTATAAAATCACTGCTACTTGCGCTGAACGTAATCTTCAAGGCTTTTGTTGCATTTGACGGATGTTCTCCAGAATTTAAATAGTGAAGAAAGAAACACGCTAATTTTGACATATAAATGGGGATAAAATATACAGTTGTATTCTAGCGAAGGCAGTAAGATATGGCGATACCCGTTGCCTTCTTCGCCACGATTTTGCCGGCCCATTCGCATGAGATTTGTGAAGGAAACAGTAGATATCACAAGCGAAGAAATAAATGATATAGAAAACAAAATAAAGTCTTTGAAACGGACACAGGTCGCGCAATGAAACAAAAGGTTTCTAGTAAAACATGTAATAATGCTCACAATGGTTGATGCGAAAGTGTCTAATGCCTCAACCAACACAAAATCCACGATGAAATGCTATACAGGGTATCCGCAAAGTTGGGGTTTTCCTTTTCAGAAACAACTACCCTTGAAATAACAAAGGTAATGTGTAGGCGACCAAGTAAAAAAAAATAAAGGAAAAAGTACTCACTCTCCAGTTGACGAGAAGGGCTAAGTACGTCTCTGCCCGAAATCATACCGCTCCAACAGAAAATAAAATCAGCTGATGCGCTACCGAGCAGACGCAGGCAAACAAGGAAGGCAAAATGTTGCGTAAAAAGTCTAGATATTGCATCCCGTCCAATCGATTTGGGAGAATAAATGGTCCAATGAGCATACCGTTCACCATGCCAGCCCAAACATTCACCGAAAATGTTTGTTGAAAATGTGCCCGACGGACAGCGTGCGGATTTTCTACTGACCAAACATGAGTGTTGCGAAAGTTATTCACCCCATTACGCGTGAACGTAGATTCGTCTGTCACCAATATGCACTTCAAAAAGTCCGGACTATTGTCATGTTGATGCAACAACCACTCACAAAACCGCACTCTTGCTGGAAAATCGTTAGGTTGAAGGGTTTGTACTCGTTGGACGTGAAACGGATACAGCCCCTCTTCACGCAGCGTTTGCCACACTTTAGTTTTTGATACTTGCACGTCTTTAGTGCTTGTTGAGGGATTCTCGTCTACGCGATTACCTCTAGACGCGTGACCGTAACCGTCGGTTGAAGGTTGCATACTGACCTGACACACTGACTCCGACCCAGTTCTCTCGTCGGGTTGAGCTAGTGTCCTGGTACCAGTCGGGGATGTCGCGGCTATAGGATGGTATTCAGATATTTTTGATGCTGCAGAGCCCTTTATCTCGGTTCCCTAAAGACATTGGTGTATATGGTACTAAGAAAAATTGCTTATGTTTTCAAGATCTACACGTCGTGTAAAGGAAAACCCCAACTTTGCGGACACCCTGTATTTGCAGTGCTACATCCGAAGACTTCAACTATTTATCAAACAAAAGTCCTTCTAGTGAAGATTCATTAAAGTTTGGCTCATCAATTTTGCATGCCAGAATAAGACTGAAATAGTGCTTCATATTGCGTACAAATTGCCAGTGAAGAAAAGGCAACTAAGAAGTGAAAGACATAAACAAATAGTTCAACAAAGGAAATTGGAGATACAAAAGGAATTTAGATCCCAAATGGGTCTTACAGTTGATGTTCCAAAAGCTGGGAATACCAGTAGGAGATTTTTTACGGCAACAATAACCGGTATAGATTCCCGTCTCCTTTTTTAAAGTAATTTTGGAAGCGATATCAAGCGGCCATAAAATAGACAAATTTGAAATATTTTGTTTGGACACGTCACAACTGTACGTAGAATTATATCAGTGGCATCCAATGACACCAACTCTTCACAAAATACTGCTCCATCGACCCATCGTCATTGAAAAAACTTTATTGCCTATAGGAATAATGTCAGAAGAGGCCGCAGAGGCAAACACTTTCGGTTATACCGCCAAAATTATGCTCGGAAGGTCAGCAGAGAGTCTTGCAATCTTGATATCATAAATAAATTATTATTGATCCCATGTTAACTGGCATGAGATCTACTCCAAGAAAAATTGCAAAATCATTTCTCAAGGAAACTGTTGAAATGCTCCTGCCTGAAGAACCGATGGGCCAGTCAAATTTTTCTGCTGATAATGATGATGATGAATACTCTGCACCAGAGGTAGGAGACTATTTAGATGATTCTTGGTTGTCATCTTCTTAATAACATTTTTTACATTTTCACGTTTTTCAACTACCAGCATTTTATTTCTTTACCTGCTGTTCTTAGTAGCAGAGCTAATTACTGTTTTTGGAATAACTTAAAATGAAAAAAGTTTTGTCCGTATTTTTAATTCAAGTACCCGTATGTGCGACACGGGCCGTAGTAGGTTTAACTACACGTCGGGCTCTTCCTAAACCACACGCATTAGATATTCTTCTCTAATTTGACTGTTCTGTTTGTGTGCCATATGCCGTCGGCGACCGCTTTCACAAAGGCTTAATGTTATAAAGTGCGCCAACTCTGACCAACTCTCTCATTCTAACAAACTCCAAGATACCAAGCAAATTGAATAACAAAGCTTTTAATAAGCTCAGCTTGTGCACTTATAGTTCGTATGTAGATGCCAGCGGAGGGACCAGCGATCCTCACTTTGATAAAGTTATGTGAATGAAGGACGAATTCTATACCTCCACGTGTGTATGTTCTGAATGACTGAATTGCTTTATGAATGGTGACACGAGGCATGTTGACACTTTAATCCCGTAATGGCCCGTAATCCCAAAGCCACTATAGCCTCGTTATTTTATAAATGCAAATATTTTCCTTCATTTTAACACGATGATACAGAATATTGGAAAAAAATGAAACGTAGTTAAATAACGTATGTCTTAAAAGTTTTGTCACAAAATATTTATCGTTTTTTTAATGAAGAAATTTATTTAAACACTAACTAGTTACCATAAATTACAACTCAACACTTAACTAAACTATGCTATCGAATTATGTGGATTGGCCGATTCTGCTGAACAAAATGGAGCAATTTGGAAAGGTAGTTATCAGTATAGCTCTGACTATTCAAAGCCCACTCTTCCCGCAAAAGGTTGCGATACACCCCTGTTAGAAATTGCGCACCAGACAAGGATTTTATCTGCAAATTTCGCTTTGTGTTTGTACTTAACATTGTCAGGGCGTTCCTATACGTTATCCATATAAAATCTGCCGTTTGCCTTCATTTCAGAATTAATCAAAGTGAAATACTTCTCGTCATCTAAAATAATAATTTTTCCATCGGCAAAGTGTTGCGCTTGACAATGTTTGAGGCATATAAGTCTCTTTCGATATTCAAGACCATTTTTCCTCAATTCCAACGATATCGTACTCTTAGAAGATCTATACAGGGTGTCCGCAAAGTTGGGGTTTTCCTTGACACGACGTGTAGATCTTGAAAACATAAGCAATTTTTCTTAGTACCATATATACCAATGTCTTAAGGGAACCGAGATAAAGGGCTCTGCAACATCAAAAATATCTGAATACCGTCCTGTAGCCGCGACATCCCCGACTGATACTAGGACACTAGCTCAACCCGACGACAGAACTGGGTCGGGGTCAGTGTGTCAGGTCAGTATGCAACCTTCAACCGACGGTTACGGTCACGCGTCTAGAGGTAATCGCGTAGACGAGAATCCCTCAACAAGCACTAGAGACGTGGCTAGAGAAGTGCAAGTATCAAAAACTAAAGTGTGGCAAACGCTGCGTGAAGAGGGGCTGTATCCGTTTCACTTCCAACGTGTACAAGCCCTTCAACTTGACGATTTTCCAGCAAGAATGCGGTTTTGTGAGTGGTTGTTGCATCAACATGACAATAATCCGGACTTTTTGAAGTGCATATTGGTGACAGACGAATCTACGTTCACGCGTAATTGGGTGAATAACTTTCGCAACACTCATGTTTGGTCATTTTCAACAAACATTTTCGGTGAATGTTTGGGCTGGCATGGTGAACGGTATGCTCATTGGACCATTTATTCTCCCAAATCGATTGGACGGGATGCAATACCTAGACTTTTTACGCAACATTTTGCCTTCCTTGTTTGCCTGCGTCTGCTCGGTAGCGCATCAGCTGATTTCATTTTCTGTTGGAGCGGTATGATTTCGGGCAGAGACGTACTTAGCCCTTCTCGTCAACTGGAGAGTGAGTGCTTTTTCCTTTATTTTTTTTACTTGGTCGCCCTCGTTGCACTACACATCACCTTTGTTATTTCAAGGGTAGTTGTTTCTGAAAAGGAAAACCCCAACTTTGCGGACACCCTGTATTGACCAACCAGTTTCCTTGTTGACATTCAAACATGATTTTTTGCTCTTCTCGCCAATCTCATTGACCTCTGTGCAGTAAATGCACGTGGTCTTCCACTTTGTGGGACATTCAGACATGACATTCCTTGCTTTTATTCTGGAGTATTCGACAGACTTCAGCTTTGGGTACCTGTCCAACCAACTTGTAGATACTTTTTCTTATTTCTAATGTATAGATCTTAAGACGGAAATTTCAAAATAAACAAATGTCAACTGGCAGTAAAGTTAGTGAACAAACTTTTGTTTCCAAAGGCGACTTGATATTATTCTGTGTTTGTGGTTGCTGAGATTTTACACGACAGTGTTCGAGAATATCAAAAAATCTGTGTAATAATAGTCTTATTTTTTTTAATTTTCAATCTTCCACTATTTCTTTTATTATGCAACTCTCATATAGATGACTGTTGGTATATCAACTCCTTTTGACAAATCCTACAAGCAGTTAGTAACTTTAAAAACACCCTGTATATCGCAAAAACGAGAAATTTCCGGATCCATGTTGATATGACCTTTTATCAACATCGTGTAACCGTCCTTTATAAACGAGATTATAAGCAAACAGAGCTACTAATCAAGACCTCCCCAAAAAGTAACTAACCCTTTTGATTTCAATAAAAACCTCGCATGCCGCACCTCCTGTAAGTCAAGACAACTCCTGACACACTTAAAGAATAAAGGCCCACTATGCCGTATCATAATAGTATTTTCCTGGTGACGCAAAGCTTTGTACAGGGTGGGTCAATAGTAGAGATCGCCGGCTGTATCTCGGCCACCGCTTAACCCAGAGCTATCGGTTAAAACATTCTACAGGGTGTAAACGTTATGGTAGAGATTATTGAAATGGGTAATAGGGAAGTCAAAACAAGTCAAAAAGTTCATATGACCCATGGTCCAAAAGTCAATAGTTTTTTGTCTAAATGGCTTTATAGTTTGCAACTTTAAGTGCCTTATATCGACCACAATCTTACTAATTTTTATAATCTAATCTAAAACGTTTTAAACTGGGTAATAAATGGAATTAAGCTTTTCTAAGTTAAGCCAAAATTTGTAGTCAGTAAGTAAGTTTCATCGAATTAAATATTTAAAACACACATGACAACAGCGCGTCGATCTTTCATCACTCTTATCGAACCGGCAATCGATCGCAAACGGTAACAGTGCTTAGTTATCGTTTTGCATAGATAAACTTCTTTATCGTTTTGTCGAGCAGAGCATCGGGCGTGTTGTTTTGTTTTTGTTCGCGTACGTCGACGTATTTATTTACAATTTTCTCGAATCAAGAGGATACCCTAGCTTTATAGCGAATAACCTACCAGATCTTTTGGAACAGACCTTAGACAACATGCCATTACAACGGAGACAGAATTTGTGGTTTCTTCATGACGGGGCACCACCACACATTTTTAGAGACGTCATTCAGTATTTGAATGAACATTATCCAAATCGCGGGATCGGTCGAAATGCCCCTGATCCTCGAAAATGGCCAGCACCTCAATCCGATGGATTTCTGGTATTGGGGAGAACTTAAAGGGATAGTTTATGGGGCTGGTCCAATAACAACTGAAGCACAACTTCGCGAAAAAATTTTTAATGCGGCTGAAATAATAAATGGGCAACTTCGAGGACCTAGAGTAAGAAGAAACTGGGTTAGTCGTAATGAAGCTTGTGTGGAAAGTGGAGGACGACATTTTGAACACCTTCTTTAAATACAAAAAAAGTGCAGTGTGGGTTTTAAAAAGAAAAACGTTCCCTATTTATAAGTGGATTTTTTTAATACGTTCAATAAACTTTCACACACCAGGTGAAGCACTGATACAGTTAGTGTTAAGTCGTTTTTTTTTTGTTTGCATTTTACGAGTGCATTATCAAATAATGAAATAACACCTAAGAGCCAAAAATAACAAACTCCATCTTTACTTACACTGCGTTCCGTCGTAACTTGCGTCTGGCATTGCGGCGTTGTCAGATTTTATTTTACTTCAAAGTCGCTTTTCTCTAAAAAAATGCCGTTTTGACCCCCATGTTATATGAAACTTTTTGTTTCTTTCAACCCCCTCTATCACCCATTTAAATGATGACTATCACAACGTTTACACCCTCTATAATAAAATTGGACAAGAAAAATTGCTCGTACCTAAAAACTACTGGAAACATTCCACTAAACAAACGCATAGCAAACTTACCTGACTTATTGTTATAGCAGGTCATGTGCATCTTTCCAGAAAATAACTCTAACCCAATAATGGCGTAAATAATAATGACGAACAGTACTAAAAGAGCTATATGTAATAAAGGCACCATGGCACGGAGAATTGAGTTTAACACAACTTGTAAACCTGAAAAAGAAATTCAACGTTAGCTTAGAGACCACAGCCACTCAACGGGAACAAAGCGCTCAATCCGATAGAGGATCCGCAAAGGGAAAGTCAGCAAATAGGGTTTCTTTCAATAACCATATGGACAAAGCGATTGCTAAACAGCGCGGAACGTTTCTTGTACGTGTAGATTCAGTGAATCGTAATTTTATAAGGATCAACAACAACTCTCCATTCGACATCAAACAGGACTGATTTTCCCAGGTTGAGCATACTCGTACATGTACTGAGATATTAGAATTCAAGAATTTTTTACATATCGCTTTATCTTGCCATGAACAAGTTCTTTTGTCTGTAAAGTTTTTGTGGTGGCTGCGTGTATTGTATAAATTGTTTGTATCATTTGCACCGAAAAGAAGGTCTTTGGTTCAGTACCCTAATATATTTAAAACCTACCAACTTCACGAAACTCGCAAAAATTAAAACAAATAATTTTTCAAAAAAAAAACATCACACCGATTTACCGAAAATGTGTGGAGCTATTCTTATTCTGGTTTCATACTCAGCATTTCAAAATACATCTGAAATAAGCACCGAAGACAATTAAGAAATATGAATTGTTATATCCCGGATATTTCCTGAAAAACTAATATTTGCGTACTAAACGTGGCAACGCTGTGGTGGCAAATTGAGGACAGCCGCGCTGATTTCTGGTGTTTTATGCTGCGGGTTTGTGCATATGAGGGGAAGCTTTATTTTGCCCATGTTGTCATGTCTACGTGTGTTTCCGTGATATTTTGAAACTTTTCAGTGCAATATCTAGCATTTTAGACTATTCTAGAAGATGATTAAGTGTTACATGTTATGCAAAAAGCAGTTTAAACGCGATAAAAGCTACTCGGGGAAAAGTATACAATTTTCGTTGAAGATCAAATTTTGTGTAAACAATAATCTGTTAATGTTGCTAACAAACAATCGTTTAAGATTGGCTTAGCTTCTTCTAACCTAGTCCGAATTCGTTGGGTATGCGTACGGAATACGACAGTTTGGCCTTCATTCTTATCGCCCACATTGGGTGCTACTTTTCCCAGCTGAACATCGGCGTAACCGTTTGCTCTGGTTTAGGTTTTTAAAGTGAGTCCAACCTCAGACACTCCTGGCCAGTGTTCCACTCATGGTTGATATATTGGAGTATTTTTCCGCAAATTTTTGGAGATTTTGTCTTCCCTTGGGGATTTTTTTGGTGATATAATGTTCTGGAGGATTTTTTATTCTAGGGCGTTTCTGTTAGTTTGTTTTGAAAGCATCAAAGTGTACGAGATTGTTGCGTTCCTGAGCGGTGATATCTTCCAGATCTTTCGTCAAAGAGAAAGTTGCTAGTGGTCTTTTTCCCTCCAGCTCATTAACAAAAACAGGCTCATACACTGAACCCCTACGTTTAGAGGAGAGAGGAATGATATTGGGGCCAAGACCACTCTCTGAGGAACATCCGCCTTAGCTACCGACACAAGCCTCACTATATGACCTTGCTCCACAGTTGTGTAACGTAAGCTAGGAGGTAGCAACGGAAATCGTACTGCTTTTCGTGATTACACGTGCTCAAATATACCATTTTATCCGCATTCCATATACGGTGAATATTCAAGTGACTTCGACAGAAGTTATAGAACGGTATCCTCAGAATTTGTAGCGTAGTCATATTTATCTGTTCACATGAGTTAGCACAATAAGCTGACTCTGTTTGTGTACCGAACAATTGGTATTTCGCATTTCACGTTGAGGCACCGTCTTTATCCGTTTGTTCCACATAGAACTGTTAACTGACAAGCACATGAGCAGGAGAGCCTATTAATTCATCGGGGGTTAACATGCATGTGACGTCGAGATTTCATCTCAATGATTTACAACAGTTAGCTTGCTATTAGCGTGTACGCTGAAATACTGTGCCCGAGGAGAAAAGTACCAATCCCCCATATAGGTAGGGTCGTTCAAAATTTGAAATTTCAATTGACCATGAAAAATAACGTCGTCCGCAGACGCACATTATTCGTCGGATTTTCGATACTTAAATTTCCTGTAATCACTGGGATCAGAAGCTACTTAGTAATAGAACGTGTTTCACTGATTTCAACCCCCCCTTTTTAAGCAGTACAATTTTTTATGTCAACGATTAGGAGCCCCTGAAACGTCAAAAACGGAGTTTCAGCAATTGTTACTTTTTCTTTTTTGCCTATAGCACCGTCGCCACTGGACTAAACCTACAAAGCTTTGGCATATTAGTAACTGCGTATGGAAATCTCATAAAAATCCGATGTTGATGATGAGTGATACAGTTTTTCGTGATGTAGATGTCATATGACTTAAAAAAACATAACATGGCCAAGCAGATTGAAAAGAACTTCTCACACAGTAGCCTTCCACCACTTACGTGTCAGGATGGAACTATTGTATTCGACTCAAAGGCCAGGCGGAAGTGCTAGCCAAGATCTTTGCTGCCAACTCCACCATGGACGTCCCCACCAACGCCCAAGTGCCGTCAATTCAAAGGGTTCCCCACACTATGCGGGAGGTAACATTCAGGCATAAGACCGTAAGACGAGTGCTCTTGTCGCTTGACATCAACAAAGCTTCTGGTCCGGACTTGATTCCTGCCATTGTACTGAAGAGATGTGCAGCTGAGCTTGCTCCAGTTCTTTCGCGTCTCTTCCAGATATCTTATGAATCCGGCACCTTCCCAGAAAACTGGAAATTTGCTCATGTACAGCCCATCCCAAAAAAAGGATCTAAAACCGACCCTTACAACTACAGGCCTATAGCTCTGCTTTCTGTTATAAGTAAAGTGATGGAGAGGTGCATAAATCGCGAGCTTCTGGACTACCTTGAACGTCACAGCTTGATTAGCGACAGGCAGTACGGTTTCCGGCACCAACGATCCACAGGGGACCTCCTAGCTTACGTCACGCAACTGTGGAGTAAACTCATCCAGTCTCATGGTGAGGCTCATGTCGTTGCTCTTGACATCACGAAAGCGTTCGATCAGCTGTGGCACGCTGCCCTCTTGAGCAAACTTCCATCCTACGGCCTCCCAGAAAAGCTTTGCAGATGGGTGGCTGACTTTATCTCTGGCCGCAAGATATCCGTCGTAATTGACGGATTCTCCTCTTCATCCCACAACGTCAACGCGGGTGTTCCCCATTTTATTTGAATAACAGAGATGTCACATGTCAAAAGCCAATTATTACATTAATTTTCTCGGACAATAGAACGGTTTTTATTTTTTTACTCAAAAATGCCGCATCAAATCAAAACAATTCAAGAGAGATCATTTGTTTTATATTGGACGGGGAATTCAAATATAATTTGTATTTGTCAAAAAACCATTGGCGTACCATTTTTTTTTCTTAAAGAATATCGAAGTCAATACCCGTACGCACACCACTGTTAAAGCTAAAAATTATTTTTGCATTCAAAATATTCGCATATCATTAAGGAACCCTGTATATTGGACGTTTCGACATGAATTTAATTTCTGGCGAGCGTCTTCAAAATGCCACCGAGGCTTCGCGAGTGCAAGCAGATCGCTGTCCCGATCGTTATAATTAAACAGTGAGAGAACGCCGAATGGTGCAAGCTGAGGAATGAGTATCGAATCTTGTAGAAGAAAATACTTCGACTAGCACTAGGGAAATGGCTAGACAAGTGCAAGCCTCCAAGGTTAAGGTGTGGCAAACGCTGCGTGATGATGGATTGTACCCTTGTGTTGCAGCTCATATGCGTCGCGTAACGGCATAAATAACTGCCGAAATACTCATGTGTGGTCGTTGGAAAATCCTCACGTATTCCGAAGGTCAAATTTTCAACAAACATTCTCTTTGAATATTTCATCGCCAATAACGCGAAGTGGCGTATCACAGAAAATACGAAAAGTCAGTTAGGTCGATTTTCAATATCACGAAAGTGGCATAAGTCAGTTTCTAATACATTCAGAGTTATGGAAAAATAATATTAGACTTATCTCATTTTAATAGGAAACTAAATTTCACTAGAGAGCTTAACTCAAGTTACTCCAATTTCTGAAATTATTAAAAAAATACAAAAAATAAAAGTCTGGAAGGCAAAATAGCCGCAAATATCACCTTACAACCGAAGGCCAGCAGTATTTAGTATGTAAAACTCTACTTGTGCACACGTTAGGATCTCGTTAATGAACAATGAGAACTTAGAAAGATTAAATTCAACTGGAATCGTTGAAGGAGAAAAAATAGGTGGTTGATATTAGGAGAGTTAATTCACTTCGAGATGCAATTCACAAACACATCCTGAGGTTCCCGAAAATTGAGTCCCGCTATTGCCGACCAAGTTCAACCAAGGAATATCTTCATCCAGAATTGACAGTTTCTAAGATATATGCTATGTTTATAGGAGAACTAAATCACACTGACGACAAACCTTCGATTGACCTATACCGTAAAGTGTCTAGGTCATTAAACTTTGTATTTCACCGACCGAAGAAAGATCACTCACTGCTCGCTGTGTAATTCCTGCAGACAAGGTGAGAAAGATCAGAAATAAAGACTGAAGGAAATGAAAAGTTCTATAGAGTGCAAGCTCTGAATAGTAATAATAATGGAATTGCATGTGCAAGTTTTGATCTAGAACAAGCCCCGGTCAAATGACAGTGCAGTCTTATAAAAAAATATAATTTGACGGTGCACGATATTTCTTCAAAGGAATGCCACTGTTTTTCTTTGGAATGAACTAGAGAGCAAAAGAGGGGCATTTGAAGTAAGTTCCTGTATTTCTAGGGTTTTCAAATTTACGACTTATTCCGTTGCTCTAATTTCGGATGGAATCAGTGGACAGAATAAGAATTCCATTATTGCGACAATGTTTTTATATGATGCAGCTATAGAGGTATTTCATTATTCTATTTGATGTCATGCATGGTCAAAATGAAGGAGATTCTGCCCACACTGCCATCTTTACAGCATTTTTTGTACTCCAACTATCATGAAGGCCTA